TCATGGCCCCTTGCTCTTACATCTTTGAAATTACTTGTAAGGAGAGATAGGGGAGTGCTCTGGGTATTACCCATCCTGTAATAATTTGTAGTCTCTTCCTGTAAAGGAATATGGGTTAGAATACCTTTAAAGGAAATCTGGCTTATTAATAATATCTAGTCGCAAGCGCGCTGGCAGCCCGGGTCAGAGACAGCTGCTGCCCAGATGGCAAACGTGCTCCGGCAGCCCAGATCGCAAGCCCGCACCAGAAGCCGGGTCAGAGTTAGCTGGTCAGATCGCGATGGCGCTCCGGCAGCCCAGATCGCAAGGGCGCACTGGGAACCCGGGTCAGAGTTAGCCACTCGGATTGCGTTGGCGCTTGGCAGCCCAGATTGCAAGCACGCACCGGGAGCCCGGGTCAGAGTTAGCCACTCGGATCGCGTTGGCGCTCCGGCAGCCCAGATCGCAAGCGTGCACCAGGAGCCCGGGTCAGAGTTAGCTGCTCAGATCGCATTGGCGCTCCGGCAGCCCAGATCACAAACTAGATCAGACGAGAGCCAGGGGACATCTCCCACCAGTCTCCGCTGGCCATCCTATAGGGCGTCCGCCAGGACTGCGCCAGCTCCAGTTTTAGACCTCGCGAGTCACAGATTCAGATTTAGAACAGACACAGACAGACAAATGGAGACGAGCCGGCTCACCTATCAGTAGATCGATCCCAGTAGATCCCTTGACCAGGGGTCTGGTGGGCTTGGGGAATCCCGGACGAGCCCCCAGATGTTATGCCCAGACCGTTTGTTCCCCAAAGAAGACCACCAGAGTCCAGAGTCAAAGCCAAGCGGCAAGGATCTTTACTACAAGTTCGAACTTGGTCCCTCCATTCCACAGCATACAGGAGGGCCTGGAACAATGCGAGTGCTTGCTTTTTATAACCCAATGTAAACAGGATATGTAAAGTTATAGGGAACAAGGTAATCCTCTCGGTTACAGCATTACAATTGGTTAACATTCTACATTTAGCATTCCTTATCAGAGATCTCTCAGGTGATGTTTTTCTGAAGTTTGAAAGAAATATGGAGGAATGTGTTTGTGCTGGGCTCAGGAAGTTGGGAGATATATGGGGGATGTGCCTCATTCCTTTCACTCTTTTTCATAAAAAGGTGAACTTTTTTTTAGAATTGGAGCCAAGGTACCAAAAATACCAAATTAAAAAATGTCCTGACAATGTACCACAATTTACTACTAGTAATGTTAAAACAACAGCTTGTGACTGGGAAAATGAAATGGAGACAGAGGAGGAAATATTGGGGGGAAGAGAAAACATTGGAATAAAAAGCAGGAAACATTACAACTCTTTCTAGCTTCCCCAATCTTCCTTTTAACGCCAGAAGCAGAGCACTTACTCAAGGATGTCGCCTCCCATTTATGGTCTCAGTCAAATACAGATATAGGAAAAATATTCTCAGCCACTCCAATAAAGGTAGAGATGAACCCAAAGAGACCCCTGCCCAATCTTAAACAATATTTTCTATGACAGGAAGCCATAGATGGAACTGTCCCTATCATACAAGATTATCTGATAAAGGGGCCTCATTATTCCCTGCACGAGCCCCTGCAACAGCCCTATGTTCCCTGTAAAGAAACCAAGCGGGAGAGAACAGAGAGTTGTGCAGGACTTGAGGGCAACAAACAATACTCTAATACCCAGGTATCCAGTAGTCCAAACCCACATACCCTTCTATCAGCTAAACCCACTACCAGCCAGTATTTCTTAGTTGCGGATCTCTGTAGTGCCTTCTTTAGTATTCCTGTAGATCCAGACAGTCAGTATTTGTTTGCTTTTGCTTGGAAAGAACAGCAATATATTGGACTGCAATGTCCCAAAGGATATACAGAAAGTCCCACTTACTTTTCCCAAATATTAAAAGGTGATTTAGATTTAATTTTTCCCCAGGGCTCAACACTTATTCAGTATGTGGATGACTTTCTCCTTTGTCCAGACACACTATCTATCCTTTCAGGAAGATAGTCTATATTTACTCAAACAGCCACCAAGGGACACAAAATGTCCAAAGACAAACTTCTGCTATGATTACTGCAAGCTAAGTGTTTGGGGCATATTATCTTGGTCAAAAGACTGAGTATTAACCATGACAGAGTGAGAGGAATTTTAGCTTTCCCAATGCCCATCGCTAAAAAAAAACTTAGAGGATTTTTAGGCCTGGGAGGCTATTGTAGAAACTGGATACCATATTTCTCCCTTATGTCTCAACCTCTGTATGCATACCTAAAAAATAAACAACCTGATCCCCTCGGGTGGACTCCAGAGGCACAATCAGCTCTACAACAAATAAAGGAAATTCTAACTAATGCCCCAGCTTAAGGCATCCAAATTGCCTTTCTCCCTTTTCGTACATGAAACTGGAGGTACTGCACCCAGGGTACTGACCCAGAGACATGGTGATCATCAGAGACCTATAAGCTGTTATAGCCAACACCTGTACCCTGTGGCGCAAGGGCTGCTTCCTTGTGTGACAGCAATATCAGTCATGACCCTTCTGTACAAGTCTGTTGAAGATATAATTATGGGTTCCCCTCTTACCATTTTTGTGCCACATTCTCTTGAGGCCCTTCTAAACTCTCATCATACTCAACATCTGTCTGTCAACTAGTTAGCCTCTTATGAAATTTTGCTTTTATCATCTCCTACTGTTACAATTTCCTGCTGTAATAATCTTAATCCAGCCACTCTCTTGCCAGGCCCTTCCAACGAAACCCCCCATGACTGTGTTCTGATGACTGACCGACTTCTCTCCCCCAAGACAAACCTACAGGAGATGCCACTGGATAATGATGAATGGTATACAGATGGATCTTATTTAAGAGGAGAGGATGAAAATTTTAGAGCAGGATATGCTATGGTTTCCTTACTAGAGGCAATTAAAGTCAGTCCTCGTCCCCAGACCAGATCAGCTGAAGAGGACAAATTGATTGCCCTGACCCGAGCTTGTCAACTGGCAAAAAGACAAGGCTGCAAACATTTACACTGACAGCTGCTACACTTTTGGGGTTGCTCATGACTTTGTTATGTTATGGAAAGAGAGAGGATATTTAACCTCCTTGGGGCAACCCATTAAAAAATGGACAAAAAGTATCAGAGCTGTTAGAAGTTATTCTAAAACCAAAATGTGTGGCAACTGTAAAAATCCCAGGTTATTCAAAATTAGACACCAAAGAAAGTTAGGGTAACCAACTGGCTGATGCTACAGCTGAAAGGGCAGCATCTGAGCCACCAGTCCCAATTTGGGAAATGGCCATAAAACCCTAAATACTTAAAAACATGTTGAAAGAAACCCAGAGCATAGCTCCTACAGAGGAGAAATCTACTTGGAAATAGGCAGGGGGATACTTTTCCCTTGAAAGTGAAATATGATGTGGACCTAATAATAAACCCATTATTCCAATGGGATGTCAGGTGTCCCTTATGGAATATGTTCATAATCTAACCCATTGGAATCTAGATAAAATAATACCCTGTTGTAAACTATATTACTGGAAACCATCCTTCACAGTGGCACAAAAAGGTTACTCTCGATGTGCTATTTGTCCCAAATATAACTTAGGAAAGGTCCTCCATGGGGCCCAGGGTCATTTTTTACTTCTGGCTGGACCTTTTGAGGTATGGCAGCTTGATTTTCTCTGGCTGCCATCATCTCAAGGTTGGAAATATGTTTTTGTAATGGTCTGCATGTTTGCCCATTGGGTTGAAGCTTTTCCCTGCAGGCAAGCAGCAGCCATGGCAGTTGGAAAATTCTACTAGAAAAAATTATCCCACTGTGGGGAGTCCCCTGTGAACTTCACAGTGACGGGGAGCTCACTTTACTGGCCAGGTTATTCAAAATGTTTGTGAAATTTGACCCATATTTCAACATTTCCATTGTGCCTACCATCCCCAGTCCTCAGGCCTGGCAGACAGGACCAATGCAATAATTAAAACACAATTGGGTAAGTTCATAGAGGCATTTCACCCCCCTGGCCCAAAGCTGCTTACACTGTGATCCACCCCTTTTGGAAAACGTTAACTTTTCCCTTATGAAATTATAAGAGGAAGGCCCATGCGTATGGGAATGAACATAACCAATCCAACTCTTCTCAAGGGAGATATATAGCAATATTGTGAGGGACTCATTTATTATCTTAAAAAAATTAAGATTTGGACCAGGTGCGGTGGCTCATGTCTGTAATCCCAGCACTTTTGGAGGCCGAGGCAGGTGGATCATGAGGTCAGGAAGTCAAGACCAGCCTGGTCAATATGCTGAAAACTGTCCCTACTAAAAATACAAAAATTAGCTGGATGTGGTGGCATGCACCTGTAGTTCCGGCTACTTGGGAGGGTGAGGCAGAAGAATCCCTTGAACCTGGGAGGCAGAGGTTGCAGTGTGCTGAGATCCCTTGAACCCAGGAGGCGGAGGTTGCAGTGTGCTGAGATCATGTCACTGCACTCCAGCCTGGGTGACAGAGTGAGACTCCGTCTTAAAAAAAAAAAAAAAAAGAAATCAAGATTTGGTAAATAATGCTTTTCACACTGTGCTCCCTGAAGATAAGGTGCCTGGTCATGGTCTGCAACTCAGAAATTTTGTCTGCTGGAAAGGACATCTAATAAAGGATTTCCTTCAACCCCAGTGGAAGGGGTACCATACCAGGTATTATTGACTAATCCATATGCCACAAAATTAGAGGGTATAGACTCATGGATTCACATCTCTCATGTTAAAAAGGCACAACCTCCTGAGTGGACTGTAACTCCCACCAAAGACCTTTGCCTCCAGTTCACTAAACACCAACCTTTAACACAGGATTAGAAGCAGATGATAGCTGTTGTGGACTGCTTAAACTCAAGACATAGAACCAGACCTGTATACAAAGGAATGCTGATATTTATTGTATAATAACCATTACCATTATTATCCTAGATATGCTGGCAACTGCTGTCTTATAAAGAACAGAGCATTTACCATGTCTGATTTAACACCCTTTAGTAACTAAATAAATTTCACAACCTTGAAATGAGACTTGTCTCATCATTTTCCTCCATTGACAACACTTTTTTGTTTTTACAAACAATATGACAATGAACATCGTTGTATAAATATCTTTGTATACATGACAATTTCTATAGAATAGACTCTGAGATACATAATTGTGTCAAAGGATACATGTATTTAAAATTATGGACAATATTGCCAAATCACCCCTAAATACATTTAGTATCATTTTGATTCCACAATGACCACTTTCCTCCCCTAATGGCCTGGAATATCTCCCTTTGAGTCCTTTTATGTCTTGATTTTATAGTATGGCTTTTGCAGAGGAGCATTTTGTTAACATGGATTCTCCTTTGCTGCCGGCATTTAAGATCAGCTCCTATTTCTAACCTCATATTGCACTCGCTCCTTCTCTGTTTACTAATCTGGCTATAACTCTAATAAGAAGCATACTCTTTATAAAGGCTGCTTATACTTCCACAAAAATGAATGTCTGAAATTAAAAATAATGCATAAATAGTATAAGTTTTACTCTGTAGGAAAATTTGCTCAATAATAGAGGCTGATCTCATATTTTTCCTTTTGGCTTAAAATATTTAGGTCCACTTTAAAATGTCTAACCAAGTTTTCTTTTTTCAGAGGAAGAATTAAATGCAGTCTTCATTCATTTTTAATCAAAGTGCTCTCAAGTTAGAGTATGTTAAAAAATGTATTCTGTCTCATGAGGGACAGGACAACCCTAAACGTTGTTGTTTTTCTCAGTTGTTTACAGCCCCCATGTGAAACTTCCTAAATTGGGAAGCAGTGATTGAGACAGGGACACTGAGGTCAGGAGAACCTAGGAAGCTCTTTATTTTTATCTCCTCTTACTATGACTGCTTCTGAGAATGGCATCACCCACAAATTATTCTGGGGGAAGCAGGGAGACAGGAGTAGATGGACTAAATGTTAGCAAGAGGACAGGGAAGCCAGGTAGCACTAACCTAGGCAAGAAATTAAATGAGCCTAAACTACCCAGTGAGGAAGGAGGGAGGGTAAGGGAGAGATAAGTCTGTGAGATATTAATAGTTAACCTTTAGGTGAGCACTGACCACATGCCAGGCACTGGGCTTAACGCTTTACATGTATTATCTTCATTAATTATCCGTTATAGCAATGCTAAAGTGTTACTTCAATATTTTACAGATAAAGGCGTTGAAGCTAGAAGACACTAAATAACTAGCCCAAGGTTGTGCAGCAAAGTAGGATTCAACCTGGGCCATCTGACTCTACAGCCCATGTGTTTGCACTCGGTACCACAGTGGTCTTTGCTCTGTGTTAGAGACACACTTGATAAGGCTCATAGACTGTTGGATATGAGGCATGAGGGTCAGAGTCTCAAAGGTGATGTCTTTCAGTGGAAACATAACTATTAGTAAATGGTATTGCTATTCCTTGGAAGAGGTGTTAAAAGATAATTTTCAAAGAAAGTAGAATGGTGATTCATACAAATATAAGATAGACTCATGTTAGAGATTTTATTTCACTTACTATTAAAAAGGAAATTGGTAAGACGTTACAATCAGTTCAAAAGAAAATTTAAAGATAAAATGCACATGTATAAATCAGGAATGTTGAAATGAATGTGCAAATGGAGGCAAAACTAGTTATCCGCACCGTGGGGAAGGGACGCCAATTAGACTTCTACTGGACATTATCTACATGTCTATAGACAAGAATTATTTTGCATTGCTATTAGTTATCTACAATTTACTGAGTTATAAAATAGTTACCATAGAATAAAAATCAGATAACCTCATTATTGTCCTTAGTCAATGTGTAATTATTCATGGAAATTATTCATTTCCCTACAGAGGATAAGGATGATGACATCAATAGTTAAGTAAGGACTGTTGGGGAAATAAGGACTGTTGGGAAATGAGGTTAATTTTGGGCATATTGCATTTGAGAGGCCTGTGACGTACTGTGGTGTCAATGCCCTATGAGAAACTAACTAGGTCTATGGCCTAGAAAAAATAAATCAGGTGATAAAACATACATCTTGCTTAGGTAACATAGTAATAATAGCTGTCATTTATTGAACACATACCTTGTACAGTATTTATGCTAAGTACTTTATGTGGATCATGCTATTTAATCCTCATAACACCCTTGTGAGGCAAAATAAGTGTTCAGAAGATAACTTCTATGTTATAGAAGGGAAAACTGTGGCTTAGGAAAAGTAAGTGACTTGCTCAAGGTCACACAGCTAGTAAGTGGCAGGGCCGTTGCTCCTAAGCACTGGGCTTATTCTCCAAGCATCTCCAAGTGACAGGATGTGGAAAGACCCAGAGCATTGGTACCTGAGAAGATAGGTAATTTTACTTAAGACTGATCTAGCAGGGGGTACTATTAATAGACATTAAAAATAATTTCAGAAAACGTAAAATTATTCTTGGTGATGAAATGCCTCAGAAGCTCTTCTGATTTAAATCGTGTGCAAGAAACAGAGTAATGTCAAAATGTTTTACATATTTCTTATTTTGCTAGGTTTATGAGAATTCACTCTTTTATTTTCTGAACAGAAAAAAATGATACTTTTTTCAGTAGTGTGCATGGAATAATTTCTAGACTAGAAATGAGAAACCTTTCTTTCTTTTGAGTCTGTTCTATAATATAGTCCTAGAGTAGTCCTAGCACAGCCATAGTCAGGAAAAAAAAAAAAAGGGAGGAATAAGCAGGGAAAAAGATGCATGTGGAGATTCAAACCCATGGATTCAGAAATGAAAGGTATATATAAAGGGAAAGATATGAAATTCTAGGCACGGCATGAACTATTGACAATTGACAGGCAGACAGGTCCACACACACTCATAGGGAGAGTGAGAAAGGGAGAGAGACCTACAGATACTTTTATGGAGTAACATTCTTGTAATACGGCTTTTGCGATATCACTACTAAGGCTTCTGGAGTCATTTGGACATTGGAGACTGTGGGCTTAAATGGTAAAGAGCCTATGATGTATGTTCTGGACTCTCGTGTTCTGACTCAGCCATATTTTACCTGTTACCTGGGACAAATCAATTGACATCTCCTTGTCTGAGTTTTCTTACTTGTCAAATTGTGTATGTAGTACAGTCGTCTTCCCAATCACATAATTATTGTGAGGATTAAGTGAGATAACAGTTGGCATTTTATTAATTTTAAAGTAGTATAAAATGTGCAGCATTATAATTACTGCTGTAGTCTTTACATAATATGTGTTTTGTTTTTGCTGGCACCACCACTAATGTCTGGCACAGATTCAAAGGCAGCAGCGGAGGTTTGGCGTGTGTGTGTGTGTTTGTGTTTATAGTGAAAGAAAGGGAAGGCTTCAGGTACTCTCATTGGTGGTTGTTGGCATGGGGAAGGTGGAGGTGGGTTAACTAGAAGCAAGAGATCATATGGGACTGGTTTGGGAAGCTTATTTGGCTTTCTTTGGTCACTCCTGAGTTAGAAGCAGGGTCAACAAGTTGAGAAGCTGGCACTCATTAACCAAGTCCTGACTGTTCTGAGCTGATTGCTGCAGGGGTTGTGGGTTAGAAATCTATTGCTGTAAACGATCTGGTCATTGTCCATAAGTATATTCAGTCTCCCAGTACACTAGATATGATCAGGTTCAGGTGGCCGCTTGTGTCATGATTTGCCACTGTGGCCTGGGGAGATTATCCTTCCCTGTTTCACCTTGGGCACTAAACTTCCCCCCCAGTCAGCTTCATGAGGAAAGTTAAAATATCAGCTTTGTTTCAATGGAGGGAAAAGCATTTCTAGGAGTAATCTAGATTGTATGCAGTGGGGGTAATTCTTCATCATGAGTTTCTGTGGTAAGAGTGAAATAGGTCACGAGGAAAAGTAAGAAATGGAAAAATACTGAAGAGTTGTCAGAGCCAACCAAAGTTGGGGAGAAGTGATCTGTATCTATACAGGCCCCATAGAGCTCACTCTTTCCTGACTCCACAGTTTTTGAATCTTGTCCCTGCATCCAAACTGTGGACCTCTCTGTGAGGTGAGGTTTACCCACAGGGTTTTCCATATAAGCCACGAGGTGAACTGAAGCAAAGCCTTTCCTGGTTATGCGTCATATCTTCATCAGATGTAACTGTGAGATAGGCTGGGTCTAGTTTGGTTGAAAACTGCTGCTTTTGACATGATGTTTGCTTTCGTTCCTCTTTTTCTTTCCCTTTTTTCCTCTCCCTGCTTTCTCTCTGTTAAAAGCTTCTTGGCTGTGCTCTTTATCTAATGAATTCCAGTTGAATTTGGTTGGTTCTCACTGACTCTTTCAAAGGAGGCAGCTCAATTTGCCTCTTACAGCAGGGTAGTCTAAGGAGGATCTAAGCAGGCGGAATTTTTCCTTCGGCTGCTGGAGGCTTGCTCTAAGAGCCCATGGAGGTGGTGGTTTTCTGTGGAATCTGACTGAGGTCTTTGGGAGGCCAGCTGGAGTACCAGATTTGTTATAAAGAGTGTTCTGGAGGAATGAACAGTCTCAGGCAGGTACAGTCCTTTGGGAAACTCTCAAGGTAACTCATTGAACCCCCTATCCTTTTACAGGCTTTATTCATAGAATTCTCATCTTTTTCTCTGTTTTCTGAACCTTTAATAAGAGAACAAAAGATCACTTGAAACAATCAATTTCTAGGTTTATTTTTTTACTTTTAATAAGCCAATACTCTAAGAAGAGCACCATTTCAGCACAACACAATCATTTGTGAAGTAAGGGGTTTTAGTTTAGATCTGTGAAAATAGTTTACATGGGAAAGAGGTATGATGGCTCAGAGTGCTGTCAAGAACAGCTTTCTTTCTAAAATGAACCTGTAACTTTCCAACAACCTTCAAATGAACAGAAATCTTAGTTATCATTCTCTAGCGTTAGACACAGTGGAGCTGGGAGAGCCTCAGGAATACCAGTGGTAGCCCTGGGGCCAGCCAGGGAAGCAAGAGGGTGCCCTTTATTAGTGAATACGGTTTATAACTGTGAAGGCAATATTGCTGTAAGAGAGGAATTGGAGCATTGTAAATCTACTCTGTGCATCTGCCATTTAGGAAATCTTCCACTTATAGCACAATCAGAAAAATAGCCACAAGCAAAGCCAGAAAGCTAAAGAGTTTAAGAAAACTTTCAAAGGGAGATGGAGACTCTTGTACAACTCGACCTTTGGTGACCTTGAATGTTCGGTCCCACTGGGTCATGATGGCATTTCTGGCTCCTTCCCATTTTCCTGGGCCAGTCAAGCGGAACTGGTATGGTGAGCATGGGCCAAAGAAGACGGTCAGAGCCAGGTGTGGATCCGTTAGGAGCATAGAGAACAGCTTGGGTTTTGCATTGATATAGGTCAGGAGTTCATCTATGTATGTGATATAATCTGATTGTAAAGCCTTGCAGTAGCACAAGCCAAACCTTTATAAAAGGAAAATTGGGGGAAAAGGTGAAGACAAAAAAATTAATAATGATAATCTTAGAACAAGTACAAGTGCCCAAAGCAAACAAATACTGCTGCAGAATTTGGGATGGTTTCTGCATTTTCCCCTTTGTTTCCCTAGCTATCTAATGGTCGCCTTCTGTTTCTTAAATCAAGATGAGTCCCTTCAAAAGATACTTTAGACATATGGCTTTTAATGGGTGCTCTGAATGCTCATAATACATCTTAGTTCTTTTGTGAAATAATTAGCAATTTCTAGAGGAAAATACATTTTAAAATTTCTAAATCTTTATAAAATTCCATTATTCAGTAATAACAAATCCAGTGATTTGTATAATGTGAAAAGCCACAAAAATCCATAGGGTAAAATTCCCTGAAATGCTCGTATTAGGCTTTAATTAATTAATTCTTCTTTTTCTTTCTTTCTTTCTTTCTTTCTTTCTTTTTTTTTTTTTTGAGACAAGGTCTTGCTCTGTCACCTAAGCTGGATTGCAGTGGCATGATCATAGCTCACTGCAACCTTGAACTCCTCAGCTCAAGTGATCCTCCTGGCTCAGCCTCCTGGGACTACAAGCATAAGCCACCATGCCTAACTAACTTTTATTTTGTTGGGATGGGGGCTTGCTCTGTTGTCCCGGCTGGTCTCAAAGTCCTGAGCTCAAATGATCCTCCTACATTAGCCTCCCAAAGTGCTGGGATTACAGGCATGAGCCACTGTACCTGGACCTAAAATTGTTTGCTGACATGCGTGACAAGATTTTCATTGTATAGCAGTTCTAATTAGTTATCTATTACACTGGAGTTCCATAATGAAGATCAGATCATATCCCAGGTTGATAAAGAAGAGACATCTAAAATGCTATTATTGTTTTGGAATTTGGTACTTTGACAAGGATAGATCAACCCTTGAAGTTTGGGAATATATATGAATAAGAGAGTGATAGTAAGTTCCTTAGATGCAATGATTTTAAAACTTGTTTTTTTTTTTTTTTTTTTTTTTTTTGCCACAGAACCTTTATTTCAAGTGAAAATGTATACCAAATACAGAAACAGATGAACAGATAAAACAAAATGGGTACAATCAGAAATGTTTTGGTTGGATTGAGAGTGAGAGGGGAGGGCAAAGACTCTACTTTGCTGGCCATCAGCCTTTCATTTCACTCCAGCTTTGTGTGGTAGCCACAGAGCACAGCACAAGCGAAAACCTTTCCCACAGAGAAGTGGTCAATAAACTTTATTCTGAAAAAGGCCAGACAGTAAATGCTTCAGGCTTTGAGAACCACATTACAGTTTCTATCTCAACTGCTAAATAACTTTGGTACTGTAACACAAAAACAGCCATTGACAATATGTACGTTAATAAACATGGCTGTGTTCCAATAAAATCTTATTTACGGCCAACATGATTTCCATTTCATGTGATTTTCCACATATCACAAAATTTTATTTTTCTTCTTCCTTTTTTCCAGCCAATTAAAAATGGAAAGCAAAAGCAACAATAGAGCAGATAAAGACTTGTTCAATGAATGAATGAATGAGCAGACACTTCTAGTGTCGGAGTAAATAGGTACAACTGCTTGCCTGCTGATTATGGATAAGGCATGGAATAATGTACCTGGTAGATTAGGGTTAATTATGTAGTACTTGGCTTGGAATCCAAACTCTATGTGATGCTAGAAAACTATGGGCTGAAGTGATGACTTTGGGGACATTAAAAATTCTAAATTCCCCCTTCCCTTCTCTCTTCTTAAATAGGCTCTCCTAGTATTTTTCTTCTAAGTCTCAGATGCTTCTTTTTTTCTCCAATGTAACTTTCATCTCTCTTCTACTTTTTTTTTCTTTTTTACCAATTTCAGTTATAGTTTAAAAAGGGTCCATAAGTAGTTAACTTACCAACTGGGCTTGTTTTCTCTCCTTGCATTAATTTCCTCTATCATGACACTCGGTGGTGGTAACTTATTTACACCTGTAGGATTAAAATGAAAATCCAAAATACAACTTAAGTTTAGGTCTAGCTGTTGACTTATGGATAAAGATGCTTTACTATGGCTCTCCTTTCATGTCCAGTACCAGCTACTCATTGATCCTTCTGGCAAAAATGTTAGCAGCCTGAGCTGACTTGTTGGGACTCCTGGTAATAATGCCATCAGCTGAAAAGATAAGCATCTGGTCATCTCACTAGTTATTTGACATAGCAGAATCTCACAACTAGTTTGGCTGAATTTTGTCATTCAGTTGCTTGAGTTTAAAAATTTTAATTGAGCCAGTTGATTCAGTCAACTGACAAAACTGTTACCTGTCATTTTGTTTTATTCAAAATAACAGGTAGCTGGGTGCAGTGTGCATGTCGGTAGTCTCAGATACTCAGAAGGCTGAGGCAGGAGGATTGCTTGAGACTAGGACTTTGATGGTGCAGCAATCTATGATCATGCCTATGAATAGCCACTGCACACTAGTCTGGACAAGATAGTGAGGCTCTGTCTCTTAAAAATAAAAAAGAAAAAATATAACAGTAGACTTAGACACAGCCTATATTTTTGACCCTCATATACCATTTATGCTGGTAATGGAACACATCATTATGACGGTATAATTCAGCAAACAATAGAATGCATCCTGCTTTTAAAGATTCTGTTATTTTAAATAGAAGCCGGATAATAGTCTCAACATTTCCAGTATCCAGAATCACATGACAAACCAAAAACACATGCCCTGCTATTTCTTCCACTTACCTTTCAGGACTCGAACAGCCCAACGAGCTTGTGTTTCTCCTGTAGGTATCATGGAACCCAAGGGTTTGATGAGGCCAATAATGGCCAGTGTTGGCTTTTGCAGATGTGCAGGGAAGATATACTTGTACAGTGAGGCCTGGCCATCTTCAACTTTCACTACAGACTCATCAAGAAAGGGGAAAGCAAATGTGTATCCAGTGGCAAAGACAATGATATCGATAGGCTCTTCCTTTGAAGTGTTGTTAAATATGACAGAATTTTCCTTTACCTCTTTTATGCTTGGCCTGATGAACACTTTCCCAGTGATGATGCGGCCTGGGAGCTCATCATTTAGTACAAACTCTTTCAGCTGAGTCCTAAACAAAAACATGGACAGGGAGGAGACCTGTCAGTGAACAATGCAGCCAGCTCTCCCTTCTCTTTACCTTCCTCTCTCATTCTGGGGCTCTCTCCTTGGTTGGACAAGGATTGCTGCAAGTCTTGGGAGATGTTACTTCAGTGGAAGGGGATTCATGAATGTTCAAGAAGGATTATAAAATATGCTTGCCATTTACTAGAGTTTGCAAGCCTGAGGAGGAAGCCAGCACCTTTTCTAACTTCTGTTTCTCTTGTTGATTTTCAGCATTCATCTATCACTGTCATTCTAGAGAGAGTTAAGAGCTGAAGGGCTACAAGGGAAACCAGGGACTTCTAGATTAGATGAGAACTTCTGAAAGCTCTAGTGTCTTCCTAGGAAGCAGCTGTATAAGGGAAACATGCATGTATTTAAAGGAACAAGGGCAGAATTATCTTTTTCTGGCTATACCTTTGGAATCACAAGACAAACACTTTGTGAGTTGATCTTGTATAAGCTGAACCATTTTTGGGGCCAAGGTCAATCTTGACAAAGGGAAGAAGGCTCTACCATTAGAGAGATGGTGAGGGGCAACTGTGGGATTCGGTTTTTCCCACACAGTGAAACTAGGCAAGTGTGTTTCTTTTGTCAACAAAGTCATAGACAAATCATTCTCTTTTTGCTACAGCTGAGGCTCAAGTAACTTGCAAGGTCACAGAGTTCACTTAACTACTCAGCGAGCTTGGGTAAATGGCTAAATTTTGCTGTTTCAGTTTCTCCATAATAAAAGGATTATTATAATAATACTTAAAGTGTTGCTGACAAGGTGAAATACATAATTTCACTTTCTGAGCACTTAAGAACAGTTAGCTGTTATTATCGAGCAACTTTGTATCAAGTGTTCCAACACATTCAGTCATGTTGCTATGGTACTGCCCGGCTTGTACAGACTGCTGGAAAGGCCGAGGCTTTTACCTCTCTTCTGGTATTTACCTCTCTTCTGGTATTAAGCCGTAATTTGCATGATTGAGCCAGTTGTTTATCTTTCGCACCATCAACCAAGTCACAATTGGAGTTGGGAGAGAATTTCTCAACATGTTCTGAAATCGTGTCATGAACACCATGTCCCATGGGTAGCCTGAGTCAAAGATTCGGCTGATCACCCATCCCCCTCCGGTGGTGCTGAGGAACACCTGGAAGCAATCAAAGACATTCCTTCATTTGACACTGTGAAAAGGGCTGGCTGGTTCTGCCAGAGATTCAAGAAGTGCCATGAATGGAAAGGCGCTGAAAAGTCTGCCACTCTGAAAATACATCCCTGACAAGATAGTCTTGGTTCTTCTAACTTATATTTTAAAGTCAATCCTTTTGAGATTAGAATTCAGAGCATCTAGAGTGTTAAAATGCCTTAAGATATATTATTGAATACTTATTATCTGCCAGCCTTTAGCAAACCATAGGGACCTACAGTCTATCTAAGGAAACAATGAACAAGTGATTGCTACTTAGTGTGCTCACTATAATTGTAGGCAGTAAGAACAGGGCATGGCAGTATCAGAGTTGTCTACAGAGTTTCAGTGCAAACCATTGGCTTAACTGATAAATTCTGTACTACTATTACTTTTGGTATTTGTTCTTTATAACATTGGCCGTTTGAGTTTACCAGTTGACGGAGTTCATGAAGCTAATAGTTTTAGTACTTGCACAATAAGGAGTTTCCTGTACAATTGCTTACAAAGAAAATAGTTAAGCAAGCTGTTACTTTGCTGATACAAAACAGCTAATTTAACAGATTGTCTCCCCCCCCCACCCGCCGCCAAACTGGGGCATGATGGCCACAGCTCCAGCATCCGTGTTTGTGTTATATATTTTCTTTGGCCTCATAATGGAGCTGGAAAGACAACACTGGAAATGAGGTGGCAAGAACTACAGATACATCAGTGGTTCTGACATGAGGCGTTTGCACTAAACCTGCCTCTCTGTGTCTTGATGCAGAATTGGATACAACATTTTGCTAGATGTGAATGATCTTCTAAGCTACAGGGAGTTTCTTTGTTAATAGATAAATGATAAGATGTATGTCAAAGCATGTTTTCTGATTGAAGACATTTCTGAACAATTAGAGAAACAGAAATAATGATATGCACGTGTGATGGTCACAGTGGATGGGCCTATGTTAATATTTGTTTCAGGGCCTCCTTTCTCTTCCTTTAGGATAATGCCAACCAAATTGCTAAGTTTCTACAAATCAATCAACCCATCAGTCAATGGGCCAGGCACAATGGCTCACATCTGTAATCCTAGCACTTTGGGAGGCTAAGGTGAGTGGATCACTTGAGGTCAGGAGTTCAAGACTAGCCTGGCCAATGTGGCGAAAACCCATCTCTATAACAAAAAACAAAACAAAACAAAACAAAACAAAAAAAAACCAAAATACAATCTTTCAATGAATGAATCAATCATCGAGCCTTGTTTTGAAAGTCCGGATATCAATGTTACAGGCTCCCAACCTTTTTTCTTGACAGCTGTTTTCACTTCTGAAATTATTGGTCTAATTATTTACACTTGTTTATTTGGCATCTGTTTTTCCCACAACTATAAGCTCCATGACAGTGGGTGTCTTGATTTTGTTGGTTGTGTTTGCCAGTGTATCTCCAGAGCCTGGCACAATGTTTGGCACATGAGATGCCAGCATCTAGTACATATTAGTCAGCTGAATGGCCCTCAATGAGTTTACAGCATAGTTGAAAAGAAGATATATATGATAAAAGGTAATTTGCAATATTAAGAATTTAAAAGTGAAAACTGAGGGGTGCAAATTACAATATTACATAAATTCTGAATAGGGAGAGATCACTTCATGTTGGAGTGAGATATCTGGGAATGTAAAGGTAGATTATAATAGAAAAGAAAGGGGCTCTGCAGAAAAGAGAGGGGTGGCGTGATCAAAGCGGAACTAAAGACAGGAACTGGAAAGCGCTACAGTTGATCATCATGCAGGAAACAGAAGTTAAAATTAAAATGGCAGATTTGGTCCAGATTATAGAAAACTCTCTGATGCAGAGCCACTACATCTGTAATTTATTTTTTTCAGGTAAAGAGAATAATTAGAGGTTTTTCAGCATGAGAGTGCTATAATAAGATCAGGCTTTTCTGAGGATTTGTTTGTTGGTAGTTGGGGTCTAGATGGCTTGTGCTGGGTGGCAGTGACCTGTGAGTAGTGGTACAAGGCAAAAATGAAATGCAGGGCAAAACCCTTGAGATGCCTGAAGGTAGCAGGTAGAAGAGGATAGTTAGGAACGTAAGCTTTGAGTCAAAGAGACTTGGGTTTGAGAACTGGCTCTGCCACATGCTGGTGATAAGATTTTAGGCAGGTTCTTTAACTTCTTTAAGCGTTGGTTTCCTCATGTGCAGTCAAGGATACTAACAGTACCTACTTCAATGCCTTGTTTTAATGATTGGTTAAAGTAGTGCAGTGAAAACACATTTACTGCAGTGCCGGCCACAGAATAATCCTAACAAATATTAACTATTTCTACAATTATTATTGGGGGGACAATGCAATATCCTCAGTGTGAGGTGGTATGGACTTGATGAGGGTGTTGGTAATTAATAAGGAGAGGAAGGGGCAAATGGGAGATAGTAGCAGGAAAAAGTTGGTAGAATGTTCTGACCTATGGGACTGAGTAGGGAAAAAATATGTCCTGTAGCTCTTGTTGGATGGCTGGGAAAATGATGGGAAAAAAAAAAAAAAGTAAAAAGGAGTCAGAGAAGTTGGTTTTGGAGCAAAGATGACAACTGTGATTCGTAGAAAAATTTGTGAACATTCAGTAAAAATTAAATTCTTTAGTAATCTGTTGTGTGTGTGTGAGGCATTTTATTCCTTTAACATTTATCACGGTGTCAAACACCATTTGCTTGAGGCATGCATCTTAAGATAAAGCTCTTCACCCAGTAACATCAGGAATGGTACCTTTTCCGCCAGGTGGCTGGCCTCCACAGCAATGTCTGTGCCAGAATTTCCCATTCCAATCACAAGGACTCTCTTGTCCTTAAATATATCTGGATGCTTATATTGCCGGCTATGAAAGTACTGGCCTTTAAAGGCATTAATACCTATAGAAAATAAAAGAGAAGTCACATAGAGAATTTACAGGATCAGTGAATGAAACATAAATATTTTTCAGTTGATAATATTCTTTTGACAGATGATTTTGGTCATTTTTACTAGTTTTCTCAAGGCTGAGAAAATATGAAATATGAATACATGACTTTATAAGACATTGGCAGGTAATTATTTAATGGAGGTTATTACTCCATCTCACTAGATAGGCCTCCAGTTTTACTTACTAGATAATTAACTACTGAGTTGAAATATTGTGGCATAAAGACATATTAAGCAAAAGTATAAGGAGTTATTATCATTTTAAAGGTTGATAAAAGTCAACAGGACAATAATATTCTATTGATTAACACTTGATTTATGTAAGATTTTCATAAGCAAGGAGCAAGGACAAGGAAGCTTAAGGGAATTGTGAGTCAGTGTCTCTTTTCAGAAAACTTTTTGACCTCTGCTATATGCCTGGTACTGTGCCAGATGGTATGGGGGGAATAAGATAAATAAAATGTTGTCCCTATTCACAAAGTTTCACGTTAGTTGGGGAAGTTCACTTGGTGACTGACTGTAACTCAGGCTAAGTTTGCTGGGTGGGCCAGAGTTGGCTCAGAGAAAAAGGAAGTATGTCAGTTACACCAGGATTCAATCTACTGGGCTAACTTGATAGGATACCTTAGGCAGTGATGCTGAATCTTATTGAAACATCACACGAATGGAGAATGTTTGAAAATACTCCTTTTTTTAACAGCAATAATTTAAGCAGAAAATATTCTTAAGACAATATTACATAATCAGAAGTAATCTGTACTAAAGAAAGAACTTCTTTTTTCCTAAAAAAAGTAATAAGACCTCTAGATTATCAGGGGAAAAATGTATATACTTGTGGGGAGTGACCTTACAAGGCCTGCTGGCTCTTTAGCTCACTTTGAATTAGTAGAAATCTAACATGAATCCAAGTTAAAACCTAACCACAACACAGAGCATTTGGAATTCAGCAAGGATGTAACAAAGTTTGAATATTTACTCAGCACAGGAACCCAATATGGATCAGAGAACTGTTGAGAAGAAAGAGCTGGAAAAGTCTAAACAGAAACATAGAATTATCCCTGAATCTCATGTTATTTTAGATTCTCTTTGGATGGGCTTTTTTGGGGGGGGTCACAAATGGACAAAAATGAGACTCTGTAGCTGTCTCTTAACAGACTAATATTTTCTCTTATCTCACAGGAAGACAGAGTAAGAACTTACACTAGGTAAATGTGGCTGTGTTAGTAAGTAGCAGAATATCCTATCTAAGAAAAAACAATTGTATATAAAAAAGAAAAAAAGGTAAATAGCAGAATGTATATATGTGAATGATAAAAGTAGTCATCTTGGGAAATCATACGTTTATTCTAACTGTGATACCTATTATTTTTTCTAAGACTTTTTAGCACAACTTCTTTGGAATTGCTTCTAGAGCTTGTGATACATATTTTTAAACATCTTTAGTGAATTTGAATTTTTATGACAGTTAACAACCATTGCAAGGAGTATGTGCCATCTAAGCAAGTCTGCTGTAAGTCAGGAGATAGAGAGGTTGGGAGAACTCCTCTTCAAGTCTAAAAATCACAGAATTTCAGAGCTCAAAGGCTCCTTAATCATTTAGCCAGGGATTTTAAATTGGTAGTGGTGGATAAGATGGGTTTTAAGAAAGACTGCAAGTCTTGTAGAGCTCTTCTTGCTTGATTTGTGATGTATACTGTTGGTTAAAGTAATCCAAGCTCTTCAATTTGTGGGTGAATTTGAGGCTTAGAAAGGTTAAGTGGGAGACTCAAGACTAACAGCTAGGTGGTTGTATACGCCAGAATTCATACCTGCTGGGTCCCTATCTCTTGTACTCAAACTGAGCACATTGGCTCAGTTGCTTTCAGGTGTTCTTTATTATTTTAATCTGATGTAAACTTGTGTGACTTTGGGGGAAAAATCCAGGACCATGAGAGGTGTATGTTTATGGTATTGGAATCACTACAGGTCATATGTAGACTGTGATTTCTTCACTGACTCCATAAAACTTAATTCTTTCCTCCAATACAGGTTACGTGTTGCTTTATTCATCTCTACATTCTTAGCACCTAGTGCAATATACTGTAAGTGCTGAATGAATGTAGTTTACTCCCTATGCCATGGAACTTTCTGGATTCTTGTGGTGACTAGGTACTCCTTTCTGGAATTTTGGAGTGGATGGCTGCTCAGAGCCTTGCTCTGCAGGCAAGAATGACAAAAAATTGGGTTGTCTTCTGTGATGATGAGAGTCCATTATTGAATGGGTTCAAGAAGAGGCTATGGAACCTCTCTCAAAACTACTGAAAAATAATTTCCTGCATTGGGAAGAAGACTTAACTTGCTTCTTTCCAAGTCAATGATTCTACTCTCTGGCAATTTTCAGGATATGCTTTATCCTAATCTAACGTGATCTGACTGACCTCTCGGGGCAGATCCAGAATCATAGCATGTTTATAAATTTATTGTGGTAAGATGAATCTTGGGATCATTCTAGGCAATCATTAGATGATTTGGAGAAAAGTTTCTTGAAGTTTTAACTTTTTGAATGCTTGTTACAGATGAAATAAACCAAACCGTTACATTTTCTGTTCCATTGAGTTAAAATCCAGTTAAAATTTGGCATAGATTAACATGACCATGGTTGCAAAAGGCAGATAAGGAAACTGAGACCCAAAGATGTCTTAACTTGTCTCCCAAGACTAATCTCCCTGTTGACTATTGACCAGTGCTGTAAACCTCTAATCTAATTGCTATCACTCACATAAAAGAAACAAATAGAAAAAATCACTTTTTTCTTTATTCACAGATTGACTTTTGTGGTCTCTAAACTCAACTTTGGCAATGTGTACCTGCTGCTGAGGTTAACAACTTGTATAAGCATCTCATGTCTTAGGAGACTTTCTGAGTGCTACCAGTCACTTGAGGGACACTGAATCTTGGTAAAGCATAAAACTGCTTATAAAGTTATCCATTTTGCCCTTATGTATTCATAGATTGTTTGGAACAAATGAAAACCAAAAACTGGCCAGAAAATGCTGGCTAGAAAAAAAGAAAACAAAACAAAAAAACAAAAAAAAACCTCCTGTTACCTCCCAACTTTAACTATTTAATGGAACAGCCATAGGAATTCATTCCCAGACCAATCAAGCATCAGAATGGCTCCCATGAGAAAACTTAAAGTTAGTTACAGAAAATGCTGTACCTGGAAAGGAGTCCAGTGGCAAATAAGGGTTAGTAAGAAAGCCAGTGCAGACCATGACAGCATCAAAGATGGCTGACTCTTGCTTCTCTTCATGCATAGTGACCACCTCCCACTGGCCAGAGACAGTAAAATCTGAACATTTTGTTACACTGCAGACTTTGGTCTGAAAAAGGAATCACAGATATGATTAGCAGTTGTCAATTAAGCACTTGCCAGTTGATGTACCAATGACATTTTAAAAGTTCTAGAACACAGAATAAACATAGTTAATAAGTATAACCCTAGAAACCTAATCAGGTTACCAGACTAATCGTGATTCCCTAGATGGAAGTAGTCTAAGCTTGGAGAGATATCTAAGACAAGTGGTGGCATCCAAAAATTTTAAGTGATTTGCTCAAATTCTCACTGATAGAATCAGAATTAGAACCTAAGTTTCTGATGCCTTTTTCATTATTCTTTCTGTTATGCAACCTTATTTCTCATAGGGCTGTCTCTTTAACAGTAATTCCTTTGACAGATACATGGGTAAGATATAATTGAAAACACGAATTTGGTCCTGGTTATATTAGCTTATGAGGTTTTATAGAATATGTTGCTGAAATATAGAATATTTTCCAGAACTAGAAAGCAATTGAAAAGTGCTAACATTATGGCCTGAATTTTTTTGAGAGTAGTCCTCATTTCAAAGAATCTATTTTTTGCGCTTAGTGAGTACATACATGTACATGATTACTGGGCTTTAGTTCAGGAAATATATGTACAATAAATCTCAGACAAGTCAAATTTAAAAGGATAAATTATTCACTGACCAAAAGGCTTCATATCTTTCTTTCTTTTTAAAGTTTTAAATAATATAGGCTTCTTAAGTCCCTCTTAATGGGTTCACTGTTTGGTTTACACTATTTGAAGTGCTTATTGTGTTTCTACATTTGTATTGCAACTGTTTTTTCTAAAACTAAATTTTCAGTTAGTTTAAAATCCTTCAAAATATATTTATTTTTAATCATAAAAATAATAAATGTGTAGCCTAGGCAACATGGCAGAACCCCATCCTTACAAAAAAATACAAAAAAATTAGCCAGGTGTGGTGGCCCATGCCTGTAGTCTCAGCTACTCAGGAGGCTGATAGGGGAGAATCACCTGTGCTTGGGAAGTCAAGGCTTCAGTGAGCCATGATAGTGTCATTGCACTCCAGCCTGGGCAACAGAGTGAGACCCTGTCCCCCACCCCAAAAATGTTTGTCATTAAAAATTTAGAATATATAGAAAGGAATGAGAAGTAAAACCAAACAAAATCAACTACAGATCACATTTGAGTAATAACTATTTGTGTTTACTTTTTTTATTTTTTGAGATGGAGTCTTGATCTGTCACCCAGGCTAGAGTGCAGTGGTGCAATCTCGGCTCACTGCAACCTCCGCTTCCCTGTTCAAGTGATTCTCCTGCCTCAGTCTCCTGAGTAGCTGGGACTACAGGCACGTGCTACCATGCCTGGCTAATTCTTTGTATTTTTAGTAGAGATGGGGTTTCACCGTGTTAGCCAGGATGGTCTTGATCTCCTGACCTCGTGATCCACCCACCTTGACCCCCCAAAGTGCTGAGATTACAGGAGTGAGCCACCACACCTGGCCTTGTGTTTACTTGTTAAAACATTGGCGAACATCTAGCTTTTTAAAAATTGTTCTAAAATGGCTTAGTGCCTGGCACAGTGATTCATGCCTATAATCCCCACCCTTTGGGAGGCCAAGGCAGGAGAATAGGTTGAGCTCAGGAGTTCAAGACCGCCCTGGGCAGCATAGTGAGACCTTATCTCTACTAAAAGTTAAAAAAAAAATTAGCTGGGCATGGTAGTATGTACCTGTAGTCCCAGCTATTAATACTTGGGAGGCTGAGGTGGGAGGATTTCTTGAGCCTAGGAGGCAGAGGCTGCAGTGAGACAAGATCCTGCCACTGTACTCCAGCCTGGGTGACAGAGTGAGACTTTGTTTCAAACAACAACAACAAAATAAAAAAGGTCTTGGGCAGCATGTAGTAAAGGAAGTGCTTCAAATTCAGAAATTCTGATGCATTAAAAAGAAGATTTTTATATGTTGCATATATTCATTATGATAATGCTTTATTTTTACTGTATCCATTGCAAAATAAGGAAGTGGAATAAAATACTCTTTGGAAATCTGTTTAGGAGGATGTACTAGTCCATTTTCACAATGCTGATAAAGACAGACTAGAGACCGGGCAATTTACAGAGGAAAAAGGTTTAATGGAGAACTCACAGTTTCATGTGGCTGGGGAAGCCTCACAATCACCGCAGGAGCAAAGAGGAGCAAATCACATCTTACATGGATTATGTCAGGCAAAGAGAGAGCTTGTGCAGGGAAACTCTGCCTTATAAAGCCATCAGATCTTGTGAGATTTATTCACTATCATGAGAACAGCATGGGAAAGACCTACCCTTATGATTCAGTTACCTCCCTCTGGGCCCCTCTCCCAACATGTGAGAATTCAAGATGACATTTGGGTGGGGACACAGCCCAGCCATATTACTTTGCCCCTGGCCCATCCCAAATCTCATGTCCTCACACTTCAAAAGCAATTATGCCTTCCCAACAGTCACAGTCCCCACCAAAGTCTTAACTCATTTCAGCATTAACTCAAAAATCCACAGTCCAAAGTCTCAACTGAGACATGGCAAGTCCCTTCCACCTATGAGCCTGTAAAATCAAAAGTTGGTTAGTTACTTCCTAGATACAGTGGGGGTACAGGCATTGGGTAAATACAGCCATTCCAAATGGGAGAAATTGGTCAAAACAAAGGGCCTACAGGCCCCATGCAGGTCTGAAATCCAGCAGGCCAGTCAAATCTTAAAGCTCCAAAATGATCTCCTTTGACTCCATGTCTCACATCCAGGTCACGCTGATGCAAGAGTTGGGTTCCCATGGTCTTGGGCAGCTCTGCTCCTGTGGCTTTGCAGGGTACAGCTTCCCTCCTGGCTGCTTTCACAGGCTGTCATTGCGTGTCTGCAGCTTTTCCAAGCACATGGATCTGACATTCTGGGGTCTGAAGGGCGGTTGCCCTCTTCTCACAGCTCCACTAGGTAGTGCCCCAGTAGAGACTCTGTGTGGGGGCTCTGACCCCACATTCCCTTCTGCACTGCCCTAGCAGAGGTTTTCCATGAGATCCCTGCCCCTGTAGCAAACTTCTGCCTGCACATCCAGGCATTTCCATACATCCTCTGAAATCTAGGTGGAGGTTCTCAAACCTCAGTTCTTGACTTCTGTGCACTTGCAGGCTCAACACAAGGTGGAAGCTGCCAGGTCTTCAGGCTTGCACCCTCTGAAGTCACTGCCTGAGCTCTATGTTGGCCCCTTTTAGCCACAGCTGGAGCAGCTGGGATTCAGGCACCAAGTCCCTTGGCTGCACACAGCATGGGGACTCTGGGCCTGGTCCATGAAACCACTTTTTCCTCCTAGGCCCGCAGGCCTGTGATGGGAGGGGCTGTGGTGAAGACCTCTGACATGCCCTGGAGACATTTTCCCCATTGCTTTGGGGATTAACATTGGGCTCCTGGTTATTTATGCAAATTTCTGCAGTTGGCTTGGATTTCTTCTCAGAAAATAAGATTTTTTTTTTCTATTGCGTTGTCAGGTTGCAGGTTTTCTGAACTTTTATGCTCTGATTCCCTTTTAAAACAGAATGCCTTCAACAGCACCCAAGTCACCTCTTGATTGTTTTGCTGCTTAGAAATGTCTTCTGCCAGATACCCTAAATCATCTCTCTCAAGTTCAAAGTTCCACAAATCTCTAGGGCAGGAGCAAAATGCCACCAGTCTCATTGCTAGAACATAAGAAGAGGCAGTACAATGAGCTCCACAGAGACAGTGCTGGGGCAAGTGAGAGCTGGATGGGCACTGGGCAACTCTATACCTTGCTAAGGAAAAATAACTAAACATGGGCAAAGAAGATCCTAAGAAGCCCAGAGGCAAAATGTCATCATATGCATTTTTTGTGCAAACTTGTAGGGAGGAGCATAAGAAGAAGCATCCAGATGCTTCAGTCAATTTCTCAGAGCTTTCTAAGAAGTGCCCAGAGTGGTGGAAGACCATGTCTCCTAAAGAGAAAGGAAACTTTGAAGATATGGCAAAGGCGGACAAGGCCTGTTATGAAAGAGAAATGAAAACCTATCGACAGGAAAGGAGTTCAAAGATCTCAATGCACCCGAGAGGCCTCCTTCAGCCTTTTTCCTGTTCTGCTCTGAGTATCACCCAAATATGGAAGGAGAACATCCTGGCCTGCCCATTGGTGATGTTGTGAAGAAACTGGGAGAGATGTGGAATAACACTGCTGCAGATGACAAGCAGCCTTGTGAAAAGAAGGCTGTGAAGCTGAAGGAAAAATACAAAAAGGTTATTGCTGCATATTGAGCTAAAGGAAGGCCTGATGCAGCAAAAAAGGGATTTGTCAAGGCTGAAAAAAGCAAGAAAAAGAAGGATGAGGAGGAAGATAAGGAAGATGAAGAGGATGATGAGGAGGAGGAAGATGAAGAAGATGAAGATGAAGAAGATGATGAATAAGTTAGTTCTAGCACAGCTTTTTTCTTGTCTATAAAGCATTTAACCCCCCTGTACACAACTCACTCCTTTAAAAATTGAAATGTAAGGCTGTGTAGGATTTGTTTTTAAACTGTACAGTGTCTTTTTTTGTATAGTTAACACACTACCGAATGTGTCTTTAGATAGCCCTGTCCTGGTGGTATTTTCAGTAGCCACTAACCTTGCCTGGTATAGTACGAGGGTTGTAAATTGGCATGGAAATTTAAAGCAGGTTCTTGTTGGTGCACAGCACAAATTAGTTATATATGGGGGTTGTACTTTTTTCATCTTCAGCTGTCTCTGATGCAGTTTATATGAAATAATTGTTGTTCTGTTAACTGAATACCACTCTGTAATTGCAAAAAAAAAAAAAAAAAAAAAGTTTCAGCTGTTTTGTTTACATTCTGAATGCTTCTAAGTAAATACAGTTTTTTAATTGGTATTATTGTCCTTTTCATAGGTCTGAAATTTTTCTTCTTGAGGGGAAGTTAGTCTTTGCCTTTGCCCATTTTGAATCACATGAATTATTACAGGGTTTATCCTTTCATATAGTTAGCTAATAAAAAGCTTTTGCCTACACACCCTGCATATCATATGGGGGTAAAGTTAAGTTGAGATCGTTTTCATCCATAACTGAACATCCAAAATCTTGATCAGTTAAGAAATTTAACATAGCCCGCTTATATTTACAAACTGAAGAGTAATCAATCTACTCAAAGCATGGGATTATTAGAATCAAACATTTTGAAAGTCTGTCCTTGAAGGAGTAATAGAAAAGTATGTTCTAACCTTTACATGAGGACTCTATTCTTTAACTCCCATTACCATGTAATGGCAGTTATATCTTGTAGTTCCTACATTAAAGAAGACCTGCGAATGTATCCCCAAAAGCATGAGCTTAAAATACAAGACTGCTGTATTAAACTTTTTGTTGACATTAGTCTCAGTGGAGACTACAAAAATGCTGGCTATAGATGTCTTTTCCCATTTATCTAAATATAGACTGCTCAGGAAATGAGACTTTCCATTAAAAGTATTTTTAATTAATTGGGCCAACTTTTAAAACAAAGATGTCACATTCAAAACAGCATATATTTTCCTATATTATGGTTTGCCCCATCAAAAATCCAAATAGGAGGAAAGAAGACACTTAAACTTTGCACCTCAGTATGAATTATTCAATTTATTTGAATGATTTTTCTTTACAAAACAAACTCATTCATTAGTCATGTTTATCTGCTTAGCAGTTTAGGGAACAATTTGGCAATTTTGAGGTTTTCAAGATTATGGTTTTCTTAAAGTGCCAGTATTTTAAAATGGCATTCTTGTAATTTTACATGCTTTTGTGATGGAGTGCTGTTTTGTTACAGAATTTTGACTTGGATTCTTTCCATTTGCATTTGTTTATGTAATTTCAGGAGGAATACTGAACATCTGAGTCCTGGATGATACTAATAAACAAATAATTGCAGATTTTTCTTTTAAACAAACAAGCAAACAAACAAAAAACTATAACAAGAGTCACCTTTACTCCAGTTCCCAACAAGTTCCTCCTCTCCATCTGAGACCATCTCAGCCCGGACCTTATTGTTCATATCACTATCAGCATTTTTGTGAAAGCCATTCAACAAGTCTCTAGGAAGTTCCAAAGTTTCCCACATTTTCCTTTCTTCTTCAGAGCCCTGCAAACTGCTCTAACCTCTGTCGGTTACACAGTTCCAAAGTCACTTCTACACTTTCCAGTATCTTTTCACCAACTCCCCACTCTACTGGTACCAATTTACTATATTTGTTTTCATGCTGCTGATAAAGACATAGCAGAGACTGGGCAATTTACAAAGGAAAGAGGTTTAATGGAGAACTCATAGTTCCTCATGGCTGGGGAAGCCTCACAATCATGGCAGAAGGTAAGGAGGAGCATGTCACGTCTTACGTGCATGGCGGCAGGCAAAGAGAGAGCTTGTGCAGGGAAGCTCTGCCTTCTAAAGCCATCAGATCTCATGAGACTTATTCACTATCAGGAGAACAGTATGGGAAAGACCTGCCCCCATGGTTAAATTACCTCCCACTGAGTCCCTCCCCCAACATGTGGAAGTTCAAGATGAGATTTGGATGGTAACACAGCCAAACCTTATCAGAGGGCTTTTAAGATCAGGAATGTGAATGTAAATTTTATTTTCCACTTGTTTTGGTTAATGTCTCCATTTCTGTTGCTTTCTATGTATAATTTTCTGTGAATTCCTCATCATCCTCATCTCTGATAGGGGAGGGAGAAAGGAGAAGGGAAACATAGATTTTCATATGTTTCTTGGAGAGGAAACAGAGAAAAAAAGGGGGAAAAAAAGAGGACAAAAAGGATATATTATTCATTTGTCCCTGCCCTACTACCTTCCTCCTGTCTCTAACCTCTGAAATGGGAGAGGAATGGGGCATTGTAGAATAACAATATTCAAAGATTTTTCTATTTTCAAGAATATCTAGAAAAGATTTCCTTCACATAGCAAGGTTCTCTTGTGTATGGGCCACTGCACATGTTTATTCCTATGAAAGGATAGTCAAGAAGAGAGTGGGAGCTGGGAGTGGTGGCTCATGCCTGTAATCCCAGCACTTTGGGAGGCCAAGGCAGGAGGATTGCTTGAGCTCAGGTGTTTGAGATTGCGTGGCCAACAGAGTGAGACCCCATCGCTACAAAATATAAAAAGTTAGCTGGGTGTGGTGGTGTGCATCTGTGTTCCCAGCTACTTGGGAGGCTGAGGTATGAGAATCACCTGAGCTTAGGAAGTCCAGGCTGCAGTGAGCCATGATCACGCCGCTGCATTCCAGCCTGGGCAACAAAGTGAGACCCTGTCTCAAAACAAACAAACAAACAAACAACAAACAAACAAACCCAAACAGGAGACTGGGGAAAGGGGCTGGTAGTTCTCAGTGTCCATGTGGGTAGGGCATTTGGCCCAAGCTGAAAATGTGGCTTGATATTTTTAGGTTTCCTAAGATACTTGGATATAAGTATTGCAAACTAAAATTTTATACTTGTGAATCTTTACACAAAGTATCCACCCCCACCTCCAGATTTACTTGAAGTGGGGAGTGAGTATAGGGAGAAAATAATGCAGTCAGGTGTCATTAATATTGCCAGTTTAGTATCTCATCTACAGAGCCCATGGCTAGGCTGGAGAGAGAAGAGAAAATATGTAGGAAATATTTTCTGACTACTAACTGATGTTCTGTGTCTTACCTTGAATTGAATGTGTTTCAGAAGGTTGAAGTGGTTTGCATACATTTTGAGATATTCCAGGAATTGAGAATTTGGCACATAGTTTGGATAATCTTCTGGGAATGGAAAGTCGGAGTAACAAGACATCTCCTTGCAGCTGTTGGAAACCACAGACTTGTAGAGACTGGCTCTGCCTTCTTCAACATGTTCCTGTACAAACAGTGCACACACATGAACATTCATTGCATGCTCACAAATAAGCCTGGGAAGAACTCACCTGTCCAGATGCACACAGTATCACTGCCAAGCACAGGATAATAGAGAAATACATGAGAATCAGGAAATGGTATTTATCTGAATGATGGACAATTGCTAGGTAATTTGGTTTTATGGGGTATTCTGGAAATGATTATGGAGAAGATGGTTCAGATTATGAAGGATCTTGTATCCAAAGTTAAGGAATTTGGATTTTACAGGAAGGTTATGCCAATTTACTGAACGTTCTAAATATAGAAGTGATTCATATCACTTCTAAATTTTGGAAAGATAACTCTGGTTCTACAAAAGGTGAATTAGACGGGACTGGGACAGAAGGAAGGGGGCGTTAGCCCGGAGCCTAAAACACAAATCCACTAATTGCTAATGAGGGCATGAGCAGAGGCAATGACAACTGGAACCCAGAAAGGTGAGATTTGTGAGGTGGCAGTAAGGCAGAACATATAGGATTGCAAAATCAATTAGATTTAGGGGTTGAGAGAGGAAGCAGTCAAAGGTTTCCAGATTGGACAACTGTGTGTGTGGCATAGCACTAACCAATTTCCCACCCCCAGTTTTTACTCAAATAACTAGCAAATATCAATATCTCATAAGACTACAGCAAAGTTAAATAATAAGCAGTTTCAGTAATGTTTTTAATATACATTGCCTCTGTCTTTTGGGCAGTGGTAAGGAGGATTATTCTGATTTCAGTGGAAAGGTTCTTGTATTTTAACATTATTTACCATCTTGCATATGTAGAGTTCATTTTTCCTGTGAAATAAAAATTATTTAATTTATGCAAACAAGTAGAAACACGAGCATAAACCTCACATACAGAGGGCTTTCTCTGTTTCTGCAAAGGATATGAACTGATATCACATATAGATTCATGTATCTGCATGAAATATACAGCAATCACAGATAACAAAATTATAAATATACCTCTGTGGTTTAAATTAATGTTATTTATCTCATTGACTGATAAGAGTTGATTATAACCTGCTTATCTGAGGCCCACCCGTCACACCAACTCAGCTAAAATGCTTGAGAAAGATGACTATTTAAATCTTGATATTTTATTCAGCTGGAATATCTAAAGCAGTGTTATTCAAATATAGTCTGCAGAGTAATACTGATATGAATTGTTTGTTACCAGTCTGTTACAGGATAACTACAGAAATCAAGAGTAAGCATTTAGAAACTTTTATAGCAATAATTTGGCATTGCTCAATATGTAAGCATGTGGTCACCGTTTTGTTGAACAGGATATAAATCGGTCTTGTTTTTGTCTAACTTGTGTGATGAGTTTGAGTTGGGTACTAGTCATATGCCATAGGACTGCATTATCATGTGCGACGTTTTAAGGTTATTTTGAAAACCGTCATCCAAAAGTGCATTAAATCTGGAATCATTTGCTTTCACTGAAAGATAATTTATATTTAACCTTATAGTATAAGTTATTTGAACTGGTTACGGATAAAAGACTGAAGATACATTAAAAAAAATATAGCACTTTCAGCTTCATTTTGGATAGCAGTTAAAAAATACCCTGAACTTGCTGAGACTGGTTTAAAAATCTCTTCCTCATTTCAATCAACATAGCTCCGTGAGCCTCCTTTCTCTACTTTGACTGCTGTTAAGCAATGTTTAGAAATAGTTTAGATACATATTATCCCCTGCAAAGAGCATTGCCATCCATTCAAACCAGATTAGGTAAATTGACAACCAGGAAGCAAGATTAATTGTCATATTAAAAACCTTAAATAGTAATATAAAAATGTGTATTTAAAATGTGTCTACCAGTGTCTAACATGCAGAACTGCAATTTCTTACAAAATATTTGTTTGGCAAAAAGTTACAAGCATAATGATGACTCTCTGTGTCAATTGCCTATGTTTCAAAGAACAATGTGTTCATTTTTTGTAATTGTTTTCTCTTATATCTATGTCGTTTAATGACACTTACTGAAATTCATTTTATAATTTCTGACTCTATAAATTTAAAATTTACGTTTTGTATTTTTTCTTTGTGTGATTTTAATTTTTCTAAGAATTCTTTTTATTATATTTGACAACAGTCTACAATTAATTGGAAAAAAACTTGATTGTTCTTCACTGTTTGAGAAGCATAGCTCTGTAGCTCAGTACCTTTTAATTTTGTTAGGATGTGCTTGGGTAGTCTTATTAACATGTGGATGCTGACTCTGTAAGTCAGGCTGAGCCTGAGATTGTGCATTTCTTTTTTTCTTTTCTTTTCTTTTTTTTCTTTTTTGAGATGGAGTCTCACTCTGTTGCCCAGGCTGGAGTGCAGTGGCCCGATCTCGGCTCACTGCAATCTCCACCTCCTGGGTTCACGCCATTCGGCTGCTTCAGCCTCCCAAGTAGCTGGGACTACAGGTGCCCACCACCATGCCTGGCTAATTTTTTTTTTTTTTTTTAATTTTTACTAGAGACGGGGTTTCACCGTGTTAGCCAGGATGGTCTCGATCTCCTGATCTTGTGATCCGCCTGCCTCGGCCTCCCAAAGTGCTGTGATTACAGGTGAGAACCACTGTGCCTGGCCGAGATTGTGCATTTCTAACAAGCTCCTATGCAGATGCTGCTGGCCCATGGACCATATTTTCAGTGAGAGTGCTTTAGGGTGCCCAATAGGATGTATAGAAGCCACATAAACACTTTTGAATTTACCAGTGGCCACATTAAAAAAGTAAAAAGAAACAAGTGAAATTAATTTTAAGAGTATATTTTATTTAACTCAATATACCCAAAATATACTTTTTCTCTCTCTATATATAAATTTAATATATATAAAAATTTGTGTGTGTGTATATATATAAATTAAAAATTTTAAAGCATTTTATAATGGCATGTTTAAATATCAGCGATTCATAGAAACTGAATAAGCCAGGGAACCATTTATTTTATGAAATCTTAAAGCCAATTAACTAACAAAAACAAAGGGAAAAAGAAACCTTCCGTTTCTCAAAACATAGGAAGATAATTGTCAAGGCAGAAAGATGAAGTGCTTCCAGGAAACACTGAAGCTTGTTGTGAAATAATGTATCACAGATGTTAATATATGAGAAACTGTAGCTTAGAGAAGAAACCTAGCCCTCAGGATAAAATCTAAGACCAGTACTTACTCTTGTCTCTCTTTCCTTCCACTGATTGTTTCTCCTGGAAATAGAAAAGGTCTGGAGTATTTAGCATATACACAGAGAGTATGAGTCTATGCCCCTTCTGAATGGTATTGGTAGGACCTGGGCCCTCACCTCCAGTGTTCACCTCACTGTGCAATCTGCCCCAGTGATTTCCAGGCCCTGCCAGACTTCAATAGCCAGCCCGCACCCTCCCACCCACGCTGCAGATCCTCTGAGCATTGTACCTGGGGGGTCCAGCAGTTGCCTTGAACTCTGACGGTGGAAACACATGCCTCTAAAAATGGATGGGGCCACTTAGGAGAAGATTTTTGTTTTCATGAAGAGAAAAATGGGTGAGTGGAGAAAAAAGGAGAGGAGGGTTGAACTGTGGAAAGAGGGAAGAGACTAAGAGCACGAGCAGAGGGGTTTCTGTCCTTCTGGTCCATTTTGGTCCCGCAGTACAGTGGGGAGGTCACCATCACCACTGGCATTGACCATCACCACTGGCATACTTGCTTGGACTCCTTGAGACACAGCCCAGGGTTGGCCTGATTCTTGAGCTGTGAAACAGACTCCAGAAATGCATGCAATGTAGTTCTTAACAGAATAGGCCTCAACGCCAGACTGCCTGGGTTTATACTCAAGGTCTACATTTTTAGCTGGGTGATCTGGGAGTTTTCTTAACTTCTCTCAGTTTCTATATCTATATGCTGGAAAAATAATATTATATATCCCCTAGGATAAATTGGAGTGATAGCTATCATGCTATTGGAACAAGGAAGCAATGGTATCATGCTAATGGTACTAATGGAACAATGCGTCTAGACTGTCAATAATATTAATCATTATTTGTATTATTCTTTCACAGCTACCATGGAAATTTATTTTCCTGAGCTTGTGTCCTTCAGGCAGGAGTGTAGGCAATGAGAAGAAAATTTTGTCAAGTCAGTTCTTTTCTTTCTCATTAAAAAAAAAAAAAACAAACCAGATATAAAGTGATAATAAAAGTCATCCCTAAATAGAGACCTTCTCTCTATATACACAACATTCACGTCTCCTGTTCTCCAAGAATGTTAATTTCTTCCTTCTTTTCATTTCCTTAAAACAGCTGGCACCCAGTTTACTTTGTTGCCCCTTCTCCCTGGTGAGAGTCAGACTCTCGCTGGAGGGCAGGGTCCAGTTCCTGGGTCTATATCGCAGGAGAGCTGTGGAAACCTCAGAGGAAATTTGAGGAACCTTCAAGAATGCAAGCTCCATGAGAATAGGGGCCTGTCAGGGGTACCCCACTAGGATGATCGTAATTAAAACATGTTTATTGAATATATGAAGACACGTTTTAGAAATAAGGATTTTAATGAAAGTTCACAGGAATCAGATTTGCCAAACCTAAAGAAGAAATAGTTGAGGAACTATTCCTCAGTGATTTATAAGTGTGAATTATTTTTACACTTCATCATTGCCCTCACTGAATGTAAAACTACGTCGTATGTAAGGCACATAGTAGGGTTTCAATCAATGTTTGTTGAATAAATGAAAGCGTGCATGTGCCGAGGAAAAGAACTGGATGCACATGAGGAAGACATCATTCTAGGGAGGGTTAATGGGCCCCAGCAAATGTTACAGGGAGGTGAAGGATGAAGTCCAGTGTGTTTCTACCCCACAGTACTGTTAGTCACCTCTAGATGATGTCTGTGTGCTTCTACCTGAAGACTGTTTTCAAAGTCTCTTCCTGCACTACAATGATCTGAAAGTAATATTTGATGGTAATTCCTCAAATTTTGTTTCAAGTATCACTTTGTAACGGTGATAGTCAACCTACAGTGTTACTTTCCTAAGCCTCCCCTCCCTCTGAAGAGTCTGAGAAGTGTTCCACACGCATGCCCGGACTCTACTTGGGTCAGAAGTGGTTCTTTATCCCTGTAGCATTTTTCTTTTTAGTGGTTTCTACCCTCTCTCCTTTCCCAGGGTATGATGTTCTTTCTTTTTCATTGTAACTCCTGCCTGATCTCTCTTTTCCTTAAAACTGTGGTAGCTGGGAGAGGCCAGAGTCACGACCTTGTGAGTATCCAATGAAATGCGGTAATTTATTTATTTATTTTTGTCTTTTCTTTTCTTTTTGTGGAGAACAGGGTCTTGCTATATTGCCCAGGCAGGTCTTGAACTCCTGAGCTCAAGCTATCCTCCTGCCTCTGCCTCCCTAAGAGCTGGGATTACAGGCATGAGCCACTGTGTCTGGCCAAAATGCAGTAATTTATAATGTCTCCATTCTCTGGGCCCTCTCCCTATCTGGAAATGGAAACTTTCTCCACATGTGTTTTATTGGATCTCTGCAATTTGCCTTTCTACTTTTGCATTAGGGTCCCTTTCACCCTAAGGCAATAAGAATTCCATTTTGAACACTTTCTGGCAAGCATAGCCATTGCCAGGGCAGGGTTTTTAATTCTAAAGGTTTTAAATGGGCCACCTACCTTGAGTGCAAAGACATCTCTAACCTTTGTGTGTGTGTGTGTGTGTGTGTGTGTGTGTGTGTGTGATGTGTGTGTGCCTGTGTGTGTTGGGGAAGGAGGAAAAGGAATGCCTCTACAAAGACTCAGGAGACTCATTGCATGTAAGAGCTGAATGCACCTTTAAGGCCACCTAGTTTAGGAATTTCCAGTCAAGCTTTAGAGGAATCTCAAGGTATTACAGAGGTGCCTAAAAAGGCTGCAGTGTCAAGAGAAGGCTGCTGCATGAAGGTGAGGGTGGATTTTCCTAAGCCCCCTACTAATTCAGCTTTTGTATGTGTTTCATACTGGTCCCATGTTTTCATTTTATAAATGAGGTAATAGAGCTGGAATGACTTGCAAGTTGGGTGCCATTTTACCTTGGCTACTGCTTGATACTCCGCTTACTCATCTTTTTGATGTCCAATTGCATTCTCCAGAATATTTCTTCTTTTTTTTTTTTTTTGAGAGCTAGTCTTGCTCTGTCACCCAGGCTGGAGTGCAGTGGCACAATCTCAGCTCACTGCAGCCTTTGCCCCCCAGGTTCCAGCAATTCTCCTGGGTAGCTGGGATTACAGGTGCATGCCACCATGCCTGGATAATTTTCATATTTTTAGTAGAAACGGGGTTTTGCCATGTTGACCGGGCTAGTCTCGAACTCCTGACCTTAGGTGATTTGTCAACCTTGGCCTCCCAAAGTGCTGGGATTACAGGCGTGAGCCACCATGCCTGGCTGACCTCTATTTTTCTAATTCTCCAACCCCATTTACCATCCCTACACCCTCTTCACCCTCTGCAGGTGCCATATTTTCTCAATAGAATTGAGGTCTCTGGTGTGCGTGCTCTTATACCTTCTTCCTCTACCTCAAAATTTCTCCTCCATGTTCACCTCCCATTCCCCTCCAATCTCTGGGGAGGGTGTATCTCTTGTCTTCCCACCTTGCCAGGGCTAACCCTTGCACCTGTGCCTACAATTCCACTCCTCCCTTTTCCTGCCAGGATCATGTCTCAATTTGGATTTATGTGCTCAGTTATTTCCAGTCATCCAGATAGTTTCTATTTGCCCACAAAAATCTTTGAGTCTTCCCATCATGCAAACAAAACAAACACAACAACCAGGAGATCTCCTTAATTTTGTTCCTCATTACCCATTGTTTTTAAACTGAGTGTAAACCGCTTGCCCAAACATGCAGCCACCCTTTTCCCTCCCATTCCTCCTCTTACGTGTACCTTATGCACCAAAAAGCTATTTTAATTTTCCAAATATGCCCGGTACTTTTTCTTTACTGTCCCTACCCTCCCTGGTGTCTTCTGCTCGATCTTGTCTACCTGTTGAAAGTTTTCAAAGTCCATCACACACTACCTCTTCAGTGAAGCCTTCTCTGGCTTCCTAAATGTGGCTATCATCCTGCTCTTAATGAAATGCCCACAGCACTGTTTCTGACTTGCAAAATCCTAGCCTTCTTCCATCTGCCTAACAGCTCCTGAGGGGAGGGTGAATCCTTGTCATTTTTGTGTCCCCCACAGTGTTTTGTGCTTTGTGCACTGGTGTTTGACCTACCTGATTTACACAACTGGAAATGGGCTCAGCTGGATCTAGACCCATTTCTCATGATTCTTAGATCAATGATTTTTAGTGTTAATGATTAGGTGCCTGTGACCTATATAAGGAGCATTTATGTCTGGTGTTGCAGGAGGTTAAGTACTGCTTTTGATCTTTAGGTTTAGTTTTTGTTTTGATTGAGATTACTTTAGTTAAATAACTCTGCTAATTTAGTTAGGCAGTTTCATCTTTCAAGCCAACTCCTGACCCTGACTGATTAGGTATGCTTCTTTGGAATCATGTTGTTAAGAAGGATTCTGAGGCTCCCTAGGGGAAAGGCATCATGTTTGATTAGTAATGTCTTCGATGGACGTGGGAGGGGGGAGATTTTTGGTCTAGGTGTCAGGTTTCTGCCATCCTGTTGGAACATGTGTGGTTTGATTCCTGAGAAGAGGCATGCTCTTTTACCTGGTCCTCTTTGGCAGTCTCCGGGCATTGATGATCACATTTGGTGGTGGGTACACTTTAAGATATGCAGTTCTTTATGTGATGCCAAGCAGCCTATGCTGGAGGACTGTGGCTAAACTAGTAACCTTGGCTTCTCTGGAGTTTTACTTACTGAGCTAGAAAAGAATTACTTTTATTTCAGTTCCGAATTCTACCCTTCTGTAATAGAGAAATGCTGTGTCTTTCTCTCAGCCCCTCAGGGGATCTGAGGCCTGGTTATCTGATACTTTGCTTCTTTTCACTCTTTCTGGCAGCTTTCTCCTCAGCAAATTTAAAGCTCATGGGAAATGTTTTTGCTCAAAAGGAGGGAAAATAGAAACTCTGGAAAGATTTGATGCAAATGTTTCCCTGCCTGAGCCACGGAGTTCAGAGAACATTTTCCCTGCCCGGCTTTGGGGTTTCATTGGCTGTAAGAAGGGCCCTTGTGAGCTCATGGGACCCCAGGCCAGGCAAGGGTGGGCTTTATAGTCCCCTTTCCTCGGTCCTCACCCCTTCATTCCTTTCTCTGGTCCGGGCAGTAACCCTGCTGAGACTTGAGTGTATTACTTTTCTTCTGCTCAGGGAATTAAAAAAAAGACTCAAAACTCACATTCTTTTCTTCTGTTTGTTCTTGGCCTGCACTGGGATTGCCGGGGCAGCAGGCCCTTGATTATGGAGCTCATCCTACATGCAGCCCTGAGTCTTTAATGCAGATGGAGCCAGGCTGGGAGAAGAAGCAGGTAAAAGCTGCTCAGTCTTGCAGGCAGGGGCTGAAATTCTTGCTCTTGCCCCTAGCACTGCCGTCTCTGGCCTTGCTTCAGATGCCCTTGTCCTGCTCCTCTGCTACTGGAGCTTTCCTGGCCTGGCCCAGTTACCGCATTCTCTTCCACACTTCTTGGGCATCTTTGCAAACACTTCTTCCCCTTGGCTCTAGATAAAGTGTACAAGTCTGTTCTGACTTCCACCCAAGCTCACCCGTGTCCTGTTTCTTTTACAATATCAATGGCTCCTCGTGGCCACCTGTTTAGCAGACATTTCTAACCTTCCTCAAGGCCACCAACCCTTGTGAAAGAAGCACAGGTATAATTTCCCAGCTGCCAAGCCATTCTCCAATAGACAAAGTTGTTGAAACCTCACTTACGGTGAATCTCCACAGCCCTCCAAGGTCGTCGCTCCTCTCAAAGCAGGTGGGCTCCAGTCCTTCTTCCAGACAGCACTTGATGGAGGCCAGGCCGCTGACCCCAGCTCCCACAATGGCGACTCGCTTGGCCATGTTCTCCTGCATGGGAAAAATGAAGCAGGCTTTTTATTCATAAGCTCCACCCCATCCTTGGCTGCTCTAACAAGCCAGGAAAAAGAATTTGGAGGATTAGACGATTTGCTCAGTTTGAATCTTCTGTAGCGGGTCTCTGGTGTGTGAATGTGAGAAGAGAAATGTTCAGGTCACAGGTAAACCCTGTGCTTGGTATGTTCCCACCCCTCATGCAGCACTGGTGCCAAATGTTAGTACAGTTGTCAAGGCTGTAGCTTCTGGCAGAGCTGCTGGAATTGGACCTTTTACTGGACAGAGTCTTGCATTTCAGACTGTGCTGCTGTCTCTAGTCTCCATTCTGCAGCCCTAGAACTGCACAGATCAGCAGACTAGGAAAAGGTCACCTTGTCAGACACATTCTCTTTATCACATACAAAACTGAAGCTCAGACTGGTGTGGTGACCTGACCCAACACCACACAGCGGCTGGTGGGATGGAGTTGGGACCAGGAGCCACCACACCTGTGCTACCACAGGTATTACTGCAGCGCTGCCCTGTGTGATCCTGCCCCTGGCACAATGCCACAGTCCCAGCTGTGCTGTTGGCATGTCCCTTTCACAGGTCACCAGTGATGGTCACCAGTGGGAGAGAGAGAGGGTGGCTGCCAGGGAGGGTTTGTGGTAGAAGGGTAGGCATGCAAAGCCATCCCTCCCATCTCAATTGAATACTGATTCACCTCTAGGGCACATGGCACAGTCACTACTGGGACGGGCCAGAGAATCTTCTGGCACCAGGCCATGTGTTAATAACACATGTGTAAGAACACTGAGAGGCAATAGAGTGCATTGATTAAGCAACCAGGCTCTGGATCCAGGCTGCCTCAGATAAAGCCCAGCTCTGTCAGTTACTACGGTGTAATCTCGGACAGATTAACCCTTCTGTGTTTCACGAATATAAAGAAAACAATAGTAGCTTCCTTGAAGTGTTTTGTGAGAATCAAGTGGGTTAATAATGTAAAGTGTCTCAAAATAGCTCCTGGCACATAGTAAGTGCTCAGTAGCTGTAAGTTATTGAAACTTTAAAAGCATTTCCAAGAACTGGTTTCATCTGCCTTTCACATCAATGATCCTCTGTTCTTTTAATTCCTATAGCATTTCTGGTCAGTAGCACACACATTTAACACTAAATTATATGATGTTAGCTTTCCCCCCCAATATATTTTTGTGACAGTTTTATCTCCCTAAGTTTCTTAAGTGCAGTGCCCCCAAAGACATAATTTTTCTAAAAATTTGCTATTTTTTATTTCACAGGTGAAATCTCTTCTCAAATCTGGATATGCACCTTTTGTTTTTTTGCATTAGGAACCTGAGAGAAGCAGCTCAACTATGGAGACTAAAATATCCAATATTTTAGTCAATATTGGATATTTTAGTCCTAACTATAGAGACTAAAATACTCAATAATTTTTAAAATGAAATAAAAAGGTCCTCTTTTTTCAAGCAACATGTAAAAGTGTTGTAGGGCTGCTTGCTTCCCGTAGCAACCAGATATAATTTATTGGGGAAGAAATAGTAGATTCCTTTGAGGGGAAGTCATGTTTTAGGCCCTGATGGACACTATAAAATCAAAAACCTTGTATAATTTCTCCCTCTTTGGGCCCAAAAGGAGTAAGGTGACCTCACATTTAGAGAGGCAGTTGAAGTATGGGTATTGGGGGTAGACACATGTGTTTCAGAATCCTGCTCTATCATGAGTCAACTTGGTGACATAGGAAAATGACTTACCCCCTTTGAGCCTCAGTTTACTCATTCGCAAGATGGGATAGAATGCTACTCTTTTTTTTTTTTTGAGATGGAGTCTTGCACTGTTGCCCAGGCTGGAGTGCAGGGGCGCTACCTCGGCTCACTGCAAGCTCCGCCTCCTGGGTTCACACCATTCTCCTGCCTCAGCCTCCCGAGTAGCTGGGATTATAGGCGCCCACCACCATGCCCAGCTAATTTTTTGTATTTTTAGTAGAGATGGGGTTTCACCATGTTAACCAGGATGGTCTCAATCTCCTGACCACATGATCCGCCCGCCTCAGCCTCCCAAACTGCTGGGATTACAGGATTGAGCCACTGCGCCCGGCTGAATGCTACTCATTTTTGTATGACATAGTAGCCATTCGATAAAAAATATCCACTTTAATGAGAAAAACAATTCCAGGAAAAAGGAAAGGGTATTGCATATATACATATGATATTGGCAGTTATGCACAGAAGCATGCTGGCTCTATAAAGACAGCAGGTCTGACCATAGCATGACATTAGTGCCCACAGCAGGACAGCAGGAAACAAAGCAGGTTCTTTGTGTTAGGGGAGGGTGAGGAGCCATTTCTATGAGCCAGGTTGAGAAAAAGGGTGAGGCAATTTTCCTATCTCCCCTGAAACTAGAGAGGAGGCCGGTAGAGGGGGGCGTTTTTCTCTGGAGAAAGGCTAGTAGTGTTTATCCTGCAAGGATGTCCAGAAGGGTGTCCCAGACAGAAGGAATGGGCTCCTGGTGTGGGAAGGACCGGTGTTATATATTTCCTTGCCTAGGATGTAGCTTCAGGTACACACTGATGACTGAAAGCACCTGGCTCGTTTAGTAAGAAGGGACTATCTACTCCAAGTGCCTGGAGAAGAGGGAAATACAGCTGGAGACCTGGATCTGCTGTGAACTAACTGTGGAGACCTTGAGCAGAGGACTGAACTGCCTTGGGCTCACTTTGCAAAAGTGGATCTAAGTAGTCTCTTAATCTAAGCACCTGACTCAGTAATGTAAACATTTGCCTTTAAACGTTTGAAGGATCAACGTGGAGAGAAAGGTTAGAATTATGGCCAGTGGTGGAACTGAAAAGGCACATTTTTGCGTATAGCCCCTTCCAGTGTTTCAAGCTCTAAAATTGGCTTTATTCAAACAGCGTCTAGATGACACATATTTGGAAGTATTATAAGCAGATTAACAGATCCTATAGAGGGTGGAATCAAATGCCCTATAAGATTCTATCAGCTCAGATCTGTGATTCATTCTCTGATGAGTTCAGGCATCAAACACTCAGTGGCTTCTATATTGCTAAGCCCAGGGCTGCATATTGGGATTGCAAATGAAGAAAAAGGCATGATGCTTTCTCTAGAGCAGCAATCAGTCTGATCAGGAAGTCAGACATGAAAATAAATAATTACAAGATTCTGTGTAAGACGCTAAGACAGAAATATGTCTTACGTACAAATTGCAATAAGAGCACGAAGAAAGAGGTGCCAATTCTGACAATGGGTTAGTAGGGAAACAACACAGAGGAGTACTATTTGCTCCAGATTTTGAAGGATGAATAGACCTCAGTGGGCAGAGGAGGGAAGAAAGTGGACTTTAGAGTTAGGGAGCACTGTCACTAGGGCTGGAGGTGGTCACAGAGGCGTGTGAGGCTGTTTGACCCCACAGTGAGCTTGCCTTACTCTTGACTCCTAGACCAACCGCAGTGTATCATTCACAAGACATTGTTGATGAACCGATCATGTCTATTAGTTTTCTGTATGTATAAGGCATATGTTTCCCCAAAGTAGGCATTTTCTTTGGCTCATGTCTTATTTTCTTGTAGTTCCTAGCAACACACTTGGTCTATAATAGCTGTTAGTAGGCATTTTCTTTGTCTCGTCTCTTATTTTCTTATAGCTCCTAGCAACACACTTGGTCTATAATAGCTGTTGTGTAACTATTTGGCAGTGGGTTGATTTTGTGATGGGTAAAATGAATTCATTCATCATCTTATATCCATTTCAATTTAAAAATTAACTCAGGCCAGAGGTGGTGGCTCATGCCTATAATCCTAGCACTTTGGGAGGCCGAGGTGGACAGATCACTTGAAGTGTTCAAAACCAGCTGGTCAACATGGTGAAACCCCGTCTCTACTAAAAATACAAAACAATTAGCTGGGCATGGTGGCATGCACCTGTATTCCCAGCTACTTGGGAGGTTGAGGCAGGGGAATTGCTTGAACCTGGGAAGCAGAGGTTGCAGTGAGCTGAGATTGTGCCACTGCACTCCAGCCTGGGTGACAGAGCAAGACTCCATTTAAAAAAAAAGTTAACTCAGTAAAAATTTGCTATAAGCTAATATCCTAGGTCAAACATTCCTTCCTCAAAATTATCTTTTATTGGCTAGTCCAAAGGTAGTGAGCTATCTCAACTGATTGTTCCCAGTCAGTGACAGGGTTACAGATTTAATTCCTTGTTCTACTTTTTCCCCCCTTCTCGCTACTGTATTTGACTAGTCTTAAAAATCACACAACTTTTTGTTAAACATCCAATAAACAGAAGCCTTCTCCCTAGGCCACCACCATACCTTAGCTGGACCAGATGTAGTCAGACTTATCTGAGCAGTAAATCTCCCTGGGGCTTTTCCTTATTATTATTATTATTATTTTTGGGATGGAATTTTGCTCTTGTTGCCTAGGCCGGAGTGCAATGGCATGAACTCGACTCACTGTCCACCTCCCAGGTTCAAATGATTCTCTTGCCTCAGCCTCCCGAGTAGCTGGGATTACAGGTGTACACCACTACGCCTGGCTACTTTTGTATTTTTAGTAGAGACGGGGCTTCTCCATGTTGGTCAGGTTGGTCTGGAACTCCTGACCTCAGGTGATCCACCCACCTCAGCCTCCCTTATTAATTTGTAAGGAGATGAGATCTCACTATGTTGCCCAGGCTAGTTTTGAATGTCTGGGCTTACGTGATCCTCCTGCCTCTGCATCCTAAAGTATCTGACACAACAGCCATGAGTCACCATGCCTGGCAGTCTTTTGAATTTTTCATGGGACAGGTAGAGGGTTTAATTTGATATTTTTGTGGTAATCTACCTTGAAAATTTCGGGTTTATTTTTGAAGACAAAGTCACAGTATATCTGGAATCAGAGCCATGGGGTAAACTAGAAATGTGTATTTAATGATTGTATTTTAGAAAGTGAAGGAAATAAGTAGGGAAATATAAGAATGACGATAAGAGAAAGAAAGAGAGGAAAAGAAAAAAGGACACAAAGTCTGTTTCAAAGTCACCCTGAAAGGTATTTTGTTTTTTCTTTACGTTTTCAGTTCAGATCTGCTTGGTGTATCACCATGTTCCCATTTGAGTTGTCAAACGTGAGAAAAGCCAATATGAGAGCACATGAATGTGGAGGCACACAATATCAATATCAGCTTCACTCTCAGATCAAAATTCATGCTTCCAACCACTCCTTCAAGTATTGACAATTATATGAAACCAAACCGATTTTTTATTTTTTATTTGAAAGACTGAGATTCATTTAAATCAACAAACTCATATTCCTGAAGCCCCAGACTGTGGTAGGCAGACCTCTCTCTTCCGTCCCCTCACCCCCACCCCTTAACCACAGTGAGAGGAATGCAAGATGAGAAAACACGAGGGCCTCTGCCAGAAAAGGCTGCCCCAGATGCATGGTAAGCACAGTGCAGCTGTGGCTGTGGTGGCAGCTGCCACGGGCCCCTCCCTGTAAGTTAAGTCCCTGCAGCCACAGCTGTGGGAGAAGCGTACTTGTAGAAGCAAGGCCAGTTCAGCATCAGAAGGCAGAGGCAGCATCACTGACTCCCAGCCATGGAATGGATGGAGGGCACAGGGCTCAGGGACAGAACAGGCCAGGGGGAAAGGGGAGAGGCATGGCGGGAGGCTGAGGCCCCTAAATTTTGGCCCCAGGGAAAGAGACGAGGCCAGTTGGTCCAGTTTTGATGGGTATGGGGAAGGGACTGTATTAGTAAGCATAGGGGGAGGGGCTGCCAATAGGCACCCCAGACATGACAGGACAGGCTGAATCCCCACCCTGGCAGAAGGGAGCTTGACAGCTCTGGGGCTCTCTGGGAATGTCACTGCTAAAATGGATATATATATATATATATATATATATATATAGCATTCATGGGAGTGCAGGGGTCCTGGGGTGGGATCAGAGGATCTGGCATCGCATCCTGTAGCTGGTCATGCCTACCTGAGAGGCCTGGAGGAAACCAAAGTGGTTTAAAATATTTAAGTGTGCTTCTTCAGAAAAAATTTTGTCTCCTCACACCCCTTTTTATTTAAACTAAAAATAATTTCTTGCTAGTGACTGCTTTGCATTTAGACAGAGTGATTGATAACACTTTATAGGGGATTTTGTTAGGGTGAAAAGTACACTGACATGCCACTGCTGTTTATTGGAGTGTGATTTCACGTGCAAATGCAAAAACAACATTTAAAATGTTATTGCTCCTTATGTGGATATGCGGCAGCACTCCTCTGGAGGGGGCACCAGCTGTAGGGAGTCTGTCCCTTGCAGACCCCGACCCCGGGACGGATGAATAAAGTACACTGACACACAGATATTCTGCTCTGCCAGTCCAGCTGGGGGTCTGAGCCACTTACAGTCTCCCTGCTGAGCCTTGTAAACAGTCGCCACTCGGCAGGGAGCCTGTAAGGACCTGGGACACTCAGAATATCTGTGTCAGTGTACTTTATTCATCCGTCACTGGGTCAGGGGTCTGCAAGGGACAGACACCCCACAGCCGGTGCCCCTCGAGAGGAGTGCTGCCCCAGCTGGTGACGCATGTGAGGCCTGTGTGAGGAACTGTGCGAGGAATGCTGTGAAGGAAACGCGAGGGACCGCCCGAAAACGAAGGTGAAGAAAGGAACCCCGCGGTCAAGTGAGTGAGTAATCAGTAAGTCATTACTGCGGCAGCGCCCCTCACACGGGGCTCCAACTGCGGCAGCACTCCTCTCCAGGGGGCACCAGCTGCGGGGAGTCTGTCCCTTGCAGACCCCTGACCCCGCGACGTATGAACAAAGTACACTGACACACATGTATTCTGCTCTGTCAGTTCTCCTGAGGGTCGGAGCCACTTACAGGCTCCCTGCTGTGTCCTGTAAACAGTTGCGACTTGACCCTGATCAGCTAGTCAGACTCACATTTATTCAGTAAGATTAATTAACAGAAGCTTGAGTCAACACTATGAGAGGGTAATTGACATTATGGACTTCCCGAGTAAAAAGCACTTAAGCACCTGCGGTACATCAAAGGTTAGTTTTAAGATCATATGAGTAAACAAGCTAGCTAGGTAAACTACTCTGCCTTCCTTTGCTACTACTTTAATTTGTTTAACTAAAGGTAAAGATCAGGTTGCCTTCAACCATATCTATTATTGAAGTTATGCAAATTTATCGGCCTTCCAAGAAGATTTGTGTCTATCTCTATAATAATTACCTTTAATATTTTTCCCATCCCAGCATGGATATTTAATAAATATTTGGTCATTCCTTTGTTGGAAGGTTTAAAATAAATTTATTATTATTTTAATGAGAAAAGCCTCAGTAAAGCTGACTAAATATAAAAGAAATAAGTAATAAAAATAAGAAAATAGGACTAAATTAGGAAGGTAGATGTTAATGGGTGAGAATTGAATAAGAGAAGAAGTAAAATAACTTAAGCAACATAAAATTACTAAATGAGTTGGGAAATCACTATTGGTTGTATAAAAGTGATTTTTAACTACAGGGTTAGAAACGAATATGCCTTTTTTTGGTGAATTTTATACTGCTTCTTCTACTTTAAAGTTGTAAAATACAAATATATAATTTCCTGAAGTCAGATTGAGTGTCTGCTTTGGTTTAGCAGGACAATAGATCATGAGGGGTCTGAACATGAGGTGAGGCCTGCCATTCCCAAACTGCAGAGGTACCATGAGTTATTTCAAAATTTTGAAGAAGCACAGTGATTCTTGATGTCAGTCGAACACTGTGCTAAATATTAGCTGAAAGTAGTTAACAGTTTTAATATTTTATAAGACTGTGTTCCACTTGGTGACATCATATCTTTGCAAAGCTGGGTGTTTGGCAATTGCTATGACAAAAAGCAAGTATTGCATGAAAACCGAGGTGGAACAGAAGTGAAGGGATCATGTCTGATCTGACTCCAAGGTTTCAGAGGTTGTGCAGAACTCAGCAGGTACATAAACCCTATTATTAAGTAATTGTGATTAAGAATGAAATAAAAATATTATTTTTCTTTTAGTTTGTATATTACTTGTTCAAACAACTATAAAGTTGTTAGAACATAAATAATTATTAAGTTTTTGTCTACTTAATAAGAGGAACTATAGTCTGGGGGCACCGTGAAGAACTCACATACCAATGGTTCCTTGAATCTAGCCAGTTGAAAACTCTTGGGCAAGAGTCTTACTTTCTGAGTTTATTTTATTGCCCTGGAGATCTTATTTGCTGGTGCCAAGAAAATGCATATGATGCTATATTTGAACCTTGCACTGTATCAATTAGCCAGTGTTTAACTGTTTCCAGTGTGACTCACCTATGCATTTACTAGGAAGCCATTGGCACTGTCAGATTTGTATCCAGTCCTCTATGCATTCCCCATCTTCTCCTCCTTCCTTTCTCTCTCTCTCTCTCTCTCTCTCTCTCTCACACACACACACACACACACACACACACACACACACACCCCTACACCTTAGGGCATGAAAATACTTCAGAATACTGGTTGGCGCAGACTGCACAATGATACCCTGTCCTCAAGTGGGTTGTGACATTTCAGGAGTAATCAGAGAGAGATTCAGCTGGATGGCAGTTGGGGTGGGTGAAGGTACCTACTTAGTCCCTGGGAACAAAGGAGCACAGCTAGTAAGAAACTTGGGTCCGAGGAGGGCCATACTCTGGGATTTCTGTCCTCTAGCAGCAGCTCCTCTTTTACTCAAATGTTCCTAACCACAACAAGCAAATAACAAAAGTTCTCCCAGGCTTTACATCCTCTGTGCCAGTAACAAGGCCAGAGCAGGTTCCCTAGGATGCAGGGGAAACTCTAAGAAATAACCAGGGACTCAGTTTCTCCATCTGCAAAACAGATGGCATAGACCTGGATATCTAGAAATGATTTTCAAATCCTTGATGTTTATACTCTTGTGAATTTAGCTGGAGAGGGATTAGTAAAAAAGATCTGCCAATCACATGGAAATCAATAAATTTTGACATAATGCACAAAATTAAGCATGAAACACTTTTAACAACAGAAAAAAGATGACATGACAGAACAGATTAGTCAAATTCTAAAGGGGCTTGCCTTTTGCTTCCCACTTGTGCCAAATGCCAACATTTGGTAGTCACCCTTCAAAAGTTATGATCTCAGACAATATTAGAAGCTGCTCATGGAAGCACTAAAAAAAAAAGTGACTTTTCCTCTTGCATTAGAAATCCAAGTTTTTCCCATTTGATTCAACCACTTAATAATCTACCCAGCAGTATACTTACCTGTGTACATGGAAGACATAAGTAAATATACTGCTGGATAGATTATTAATCAGTTGGATCAATGATATTGTTCCATTGTAAGTATCCAAACATTTACTACTCCTTACTACTCCTATACTTTGGGCCAAGGAGTAGCCAGGGTTGGCCAGAGAAAGCTTCTTTGTGATAAGGTGGTTCTTCCCTGGAGCACAATAACAAAACAGGAAAAATCCAGGCCCCACCTCCCTCATCCAAAGAAATCCAAGATTATATCTGTTTACTTACTTTATGTACTTGTAATTTCTGGTGCCAATGGCTCTGCCACACAGGACTCTGGTATTAGCAGAAATCAAAATGAATCAGCATGAGTGGTGCTGGCTTGGGAGTCCGCAGCACAGTGGATGAACTTGGTCTAAGAGATAAGTAATGTTAAATTTGAAACCCAAAGTTAGCCATTGTTTATATTTTAACTTGTTGATTAACGCAACAGTGAAATGCTAGGAGAAACACTGTCTGGTGATACGCACTTTAGACTCACTCTTTTGCCTGCAGACTGTAAACTAAGTTAGGGAGTTACACCAGCATCCTCACTTGTTCATCAGTTTTTTTCTTTAAGGGGATGAGAATAAAATAAGACAACTAGGTTAACAGTTGCTACACCACAGATTCACTTTTAAAGGCTTTGATCCATTTCACCTTTAGAGACAATTATTATTTTTTAAAAAATCATATATTACTCACATTAGTAAACTCAATTTGTAAAGGCTTTTTAAGTGCAGATGATTGCCCAAGCACTTGGCAAATAAAAGACAGGTATGTGGGAGGAGTATGACCTTGGGAGTCACAAGTCCTAGGTTCAAGTATTGTGTTCACCAGCTATTATTATCAGAGTCATGTTGGAAAAATTGTATAACTTTTCTCAGCTTTAGTTTCCTCAGTTTAAAATAGGCATAATCAAGTGACTGCCAGGGGCTGGGGAAAGAAGGGAATGGGGAAGGATTGCTAATGAGTATGGAGTTTGCTTTTGGGTGTGATGAAAGTGTTTTGAAACTGGATAGAGGCGGTAGTTACAAGCATTGTGAATGTACTAAATGCTGCTGAATCCTATACTTTGAAATGGTTAATGACAGATTGTTGGAAAATGGTGGATAGGAGGCAGGACTAACTTGCAGCTTCCACACAGAGAGAACAGCATGTGGAGACTCACATAGTGAAATTTTCCTCCAAGAAGTACTGCATGAACATACCAAGAAAACCAAAAGAATTCACAGAACCTTTGAAAGAGGTGGCTTGCCGCTGCAAACTCCATGAGACGGCCGAAAAACTGTGAGTGCCCAAACACACATCCCTGCTAGGGAACCTAAAAATCCAGATCACAGGAGAAGGATTTAACCTTACTTAGAGCTGAAATGAATTTAGAGAGCAAAACAAAATATAAACGTAGAAGCAGTGGAAAGAGCCCTGTAGGTACTCTTGGTGCCCAGGGAAGTCATTTCTGACTTTATCTCACGGGGATCCTTAGGGGGAGGGCTGCCAGTGGAGTTGGGGAAGGACCACAGGGAGAAGGAAACTTCCAGCTGAACTTTGTAATAGTTTTGACTATTAGCCTGAGAAACATGAATACTTATCCAGGAGAGCTTAGGGCAATCTTGCATTCTCCCTATACTACTGCAGCTGATGCTTTCTTGGAAATGAGGAATTGGAGTCATTATACAAAAAAGATACTTGTACATGCTTGTTTATAGCAGCACAATTTGCAATTGCAAAAATATGAAACCAGCCCAAATGCCCATCAATCAATGAGTGGATAAATAATTTGTGGTATATATATATACCGTGGAATACTACTCAGCTATAAAAAGGGATGAAATAAAGGCATTCACAGCAACCTGGATGGAGTTGCAGAACGTTATCCTAAGTGAAGTAACTTGGGAGTGGAAAACTGAACATTCTATATTCTCACTCATAAGTTGGAGCTAGGCTATGAGAGTACAAAGGCATAAAAATGATACAATGGACTTTGGGGACTTGGCGGGAAGCGTTGGAGTGGGGGGTGATGAATTAAAGACTACACATTGGATATAATGTACACTGCTCAGATGATGGGTGCACCAAAACCTCACAAATCACCGTTAAAGAACTTATCCAGGTAACAAAACACCACAAGCTCCCCCAAAAGCTATTGAAATAAATAAAATAAAATAAAAAATTCTAAAAAATAAATAAAACAGGCATAATAACATCTGCATCAGATAGTTGTGGTGGGGATTAGATGAGATAATCTATGTCAAGAGATTTGTGTATACATAGTAAATACTATATATGATTGTAATTATGATGACGATGATGATGATGCTGTCATTGCTGGACCAGATAAGGTGTCTTTCTTGCTGGTTCATAACATTGAGATGACTCCCACAGGTGCTGACAATAAACTCCATGAGACGTGGGTGGACTGAAGCAGAGAGAAATTTCTGAAAGAATATGTCTTTTCCCTTGATTTTCAACGTGGTATAACCCTTTGACCTGGAGGTCCTGTGTATCACTGAGTATGTTGCTTGCTTATTGGGCTCACCTTTTGCCTTATTTCTGGCTTATTAAGTATTCAGTACAGAGACAGCATTGTTAGCTCTGTGAAATTCAGCTGCTTTGCTGCAGCTATGAAAATAATAATATTTGAATGATTTCAACCTTAATTATACCCAGAAAGTAAGCCTTTAAGACGACTATTAGTTCAAGTGTGTTTTTAAAAATCAGATGTTTGATTTGTAATTTACCTTGGTGTGCAGCCTATACCCATCAAGGTATTGGGATTTGCTACACTAATGGTGGGACTTGTCCCTGGGCCTTACCAGGCATGCCGCTAGCATAAGGAGAATCACAGGACATTAAAGTGTTGGTTGAGAATAACATGATGATTTTATTATATCATCTCATTTTCCCTAATCAGCAAGAGATCTGTAGTAATTAAAAATGAGAAGACTGGCCTTTGGTGGCACCTTCAGTTTCTGCTATTTTTAGGGATTTTTGTTAGTCAGTTGTACTCTAGGCCATGGGATAAGGAAAGATATCTAGTCCCCTTATTTGAGTGGACCTAGACCCTAAGAAGCCAGATTGGTAGACAGTAATGTTCTTTAGGAAATATTCTGGACTTCCTATGTTCAGGGAAGATGGTAGGATTGTTCTTCTTGGCCCTCTAGTGGTAGGCTGGGAGAAATGTGACTAGTTCTGGTCAAATAACTGTGAGCTAGAGTAAGGTGTCCTTTCTGGGCTAGAGCACTTAATTGCCAGTAAGATTTCATAGAACGTTCTTTTCCTTCAGTGTGGTAATCAGCAACTTTCAAGATGGCTCTTCTATTAGTCCGAATACCTGGTGATTGTGATGAGCAGAGTCTACGCTAATGGACACATACACGAAATAGTCTCTGTTTTATTTCAAGGTACCGAGGTTTGGGGATTGGTTGTTAATGCATTATACCAAGCCTCTATTGACCAATGCACTAGAGGGATGTTTCTTGGCTCCTTCATTGTGTTTCTCAATCATCTTCTTTTTTTAAGAAAAGTGTTTTTTATTTCATTAGGTTTTTAGGGAGCAGGTGGTGTTTAGTTACATGAATAAGTTCTTTAGTGGTGATTTGTGAGATTTTGGTGCACTCATCACCCAAGCTGTGTACACTGTACCCAATGTGTAGTCTTTTATGCCTCACCTCCCTCCTGCCCTTTCTCCTAAGACCCCAAAGTCCATTGTATCATTCTAGAATAATGGTCTCCAATTCCATCCAGGTTGCTGCAAATGCCATTATTTTGTTCCTTTTTATGGCTGAGTAGTGTTCCATGGTGTGTGTGTGTGTGTGTGTGTATATATATATATATATAAATATGTATATATATATATGTGTATATATATATATATACCACAAATTATTTATCCACTCATTGATTGATGGGCATTTGGGCTGGTTCTATATTTTTGCAATTGAAAATTTTGGTGCTGTAAACATGCTTGTGCAAGTATCTTTCTTGTGTAATGACTTCTTTTCCTCTGGGTAGATACCCAGTAGTGGGATTGCTGAATCAAATGGCAGAACTACTTTCAATTCTTTAAGGAATCTCCATACTGTTTTCCATAGTGGTTGTACCAGCAGTGTAAAAGTGTTCCCTTTTCACCACATCCATGCCAATATCTATAATTTTATATTTTTAAAATTATGGACATTCTTGCAGGAGTAAGGTGGTATTGCATTGTGGTTTTGATTTGCATTTCCTTGATCATTAGTGATGTTGAACATTTTCCCATATGTTTGTTGGCTATTTGTATATCTTCTTTTGAGAATTGTCTATTCATGTCTTTAGCTCACTTTTTGATGAGATTTTTTTTGTTGTTGCTGATTTGTTTGAGTTCCTTGTAGATTCTGGATATTAGTCCTTTGTCGTACATATAGATTGCAAAGATTTTCTCCCATTCTGTGGGTTGTCTGTTAACTCTGCTAATTATTTCTTTTGCTGTGCAGAAGCTTTTTAATTTAATTAAGTCCTATCTATTTATCTTTGTTTTTGTTGCATTTGCTTTTGGGTTCTTGGTCATGAAGTCTTTGCTTAAGTCAATGTCTATAAGAGATTTTCTGATGTTATCATCAAGTGTTTTTAAGGTTTCAGGTGTTAGATTTGTCTTTCATTCATCTCGAGTTGTCAGCCATCTTCTTCAGTCTCACTTCCCTTATTCTATTTCACTTCTATGATTCACATTTAAAGCCGTAGAATTTTAGAGCTGAAAAAGATCTTAGAATTTACTTAGTCTGAAAATTGGACCATCCCATGCAATTTTTTTTTTCCCTCTACAAAAAACAAAGTTAAGACAAACACAATTCCTTAACTCACAACTGCCTGCTCCACTCAAAGCATCAAAGTTCCCCTACCTACACAGGGCTTCTCCACAGATGCCTGTCACTCTAAGGTGTGAGTGTGTTTGTTTTTTAATGCCACACATTAAAGAAAGTAATTCCCTCTGTTCCTTACACCTTGAGGTTATTATTTTTCTTTTTCTGAGAACACACCTTCAGAATGAAAGCAGTGAAAGTGAGTTGGAGGGAGAAGCACGCCTGTATAAGGCCAATTATTATGCTTGAAAGGAGTTTTCTAGTGCCAGTAGTGGTGATTCAGTGACTCACATATCTACCACCTGAGGACTGGAGGAAATAGCAGCCACTTTTATGTTTTTCTTTTTTAGAATTTCTTTAAACGTCTTTATAGCTTGATAAATATTTGTGACAAAGCCTGCAACTGTAAGTTAGAAACTATCATATCTATCATATCACTTAGAATTCTATCTTGAGTCTGCCTAAGGGGTTTGTATTTAATACAGAAGATATTACATGGTATTATATATATATTTTATTTTTCTAAAAAAATGGATACATGTGCAGAATGCGCAGGTTTGTTACATAGGTATACATGTGCCATGGTGGTTTGCTGCGTCAATTGACTCATCGTCTAAGTTCCCTCCCCTAACTCCTCACCCCCAACAGGCCCTAGTGTGTGTTGCTCCCCTCTCTGTGTCCATGTGTTCTTATTGTTCAACTCTCACTTTTGAGACAGAACAAATGGTATTTGGTTTTCTGTTCCTGTGTTAGTTTGCTGAGGATGATGGCTTTCAGCATCATCCATGTCTCTGCAAATGATATGATCTTATTCCTTTTTATGACTGCATAGTATCCCATGGTGTATACATGCCATATTTACATTCTCACCAACAATATAAAAGCATTCCTGTTTCTCCACAGCCTCGCCAGTATGTATTGTTTCTTGACTTTTTAATAATTACCATTCTGACTAGTGTGAGATGCTATCTCATTGTGGTTTTGATTTGTACTTCTCTAATGATCAGTGATGTGGAGATTATTTTCATGGTTGTGGCTGCATAAAGGTCTTCTTTTGAGAAGTGTCTGTTCATATCCTTTGCCCACTTTTTGATGGAATTGTTTGTTTTTCTTTGGTAAGTTTGTTTAAGTTTCTTGTAGATTCTGAATATTAGATCTTTGTTAGATGGGTAGATTGCAGAAATTTTCTCCCATTCTGTAGGTTGCCTGTTCACGCTGATAATAGTTTCTCTTGTTGTGCAGAAGCTCTTTAGTTTAATTAGATCCCATTTGTCAATTTTGGCTTTTGTTGCAACTGCTTTTGGTGTTTTTGTCATGAAGTCTTTGCCCATGCCTATGTCCTGTATGATATTGCCTAGGTTTTCTTCTAGGATTTTTGTGGTTTGTGGTTTTACATTTGAGTCTTTAATCAAACTTGAGTTAATTTTTGTATAAGGCATAAGAAGGGGT